GTCCTGATCTTCAGTGTTGCTCTGTAAGATTATTTCTATGTTCATCTTTTGCTGTAGTGACTTCATGGTCTCCTTAAGTCCCTATCAGGGGCCTCGGGCTGAATGCCGCTCGAAGGCAGACCAACAATGACGATGAGAAACGCTTAACAGTGTCAGGCTGCAAAACAAAACTGTAAACAAGGCAGCAAACATGTGGAGCTTACTGTAAATAACACTTTATTTTTATCTTTATATGAGCACATATGTAACTGAGGCTGTTCGTACTTTGTCCATATCGACAGAAAGCTCTGCAAACCACTGCCTGGCGTCTTTCTGCTGCACCACACAGGCCACATGCAGGCAGGCTGAGGGGAAATAGAAGAACAGCAGATCATGTTATATCTCATTAACCTTGTTTGAATCCGTTTCTACATTAAATAACTGATGAGAAATGCATGGGGACAAATCTTACCCAAGGCGATCATGAAGGGAGGGTAGAGTAGGCACAGATCTGTCCTGTATGTGTCATTCACTATTCGCCTGGTTCAGATAGAGACACTAAGTTAACCAAAGAACATACACTAAATCTGGTAATAAGAGTTTCATTATTTGTCCCAACTTCTTGCTTTCACAAAAAACATTTGCACAGAGCACCATACCAGGCCAGGGGCAGCAGCATGTCCTCCTGTCCCATGTCCTGCACATACTGCAGCAGCGGTCTGTACGGGTGGTACACTATCAGGCAGCAGTCCTGGGGGGGGGGGGAGGGTTTCGACATTACTACAGTGTAATGGAAGAAACTTAACCTACAAAACAGCAGCAGTCATCAAAATAGAAGCCATTTCCACTCACCATCAACTCCAGAAGGTAGAACTCACATTCTAATATCTGTAGAGACAAATTTCAACAGTGACAACATTTGGTTGATATCACAGACATAACTGTGTCTGAGTAGATGTTTAATTGTATCATCTCAAAGAAATTGTCGTAGGAAACGTATGATAAAGAAAACTATTCATCTGTGATTAAGAAGTGGTTACCAGGAAAAAAAATTTTACAGTACATTATACTCTCAGCACTGTCTGCAGTGACACATAGCTCAGGATAAGTTTCACAAATTATGGTCCCAGTCTCTTAAACTACTTTAATGAATACTCATACTGGCACAAATGTCGGGGCCCAGGGGCGCTGATGGCCTAGTGGTTAGTTTGGTTAGGCCTCATATTGGGAGGCTTTAGCCCTCCTAGCGAGCACCCCGGGTTCAAGTCCGACCTGTGGACCTCCTTTCCTGCATATCGTTCCCCAATTTCTTACTCTACTCACTGTCCTATCCAAATAAAGGCTAAAGGCCCAAATATAAATCTCACAAATAAAACATAGTCTGTGCTTAATCCTGTCTCATTTAAATGCCTGCTCAAATACTCTAAATATTATCTGCTTCTTATGTAATTGGTTAATTTAGTCTTCCTTCAATGATACGTCTATTGCCTCCAAGCTCTGAGCTTTAATATTAATATCTATTGGAGAGTATTTTTTGCTTTAGTTGTTTTATTTTGGGAGATAATATGGGTATAGAAGAGAGTAAAAAACGTGTGTCCAACATGTGAGATAAAAGAAAATTGTTCACACAAGTGTTCTGCTGGGGAGAATGACAATCCTAGAACAGTTACACTTCTTGAGATAAGATTAAATTACCCCCGTTTTTTTACCATGCCATGATCACTATTACAATGTCTGCATGATATGACAATTATGTGTAGGAGTTACAGCTCCCCGCTATCTATTGTGTGAACCGCTCCCTCCTTTTATTGCTCCCCGGTGGCTCACTATAAATAATAGTTTACACAGCGTCCTGGACAGGCTGCGTGTCAGAACAGCCTGGGTGACGTCCTGGCAACATGCTGGAGGTTATACATAAATTAAATTACTGGATGTGCACACAACTTAACACCACAGTGAGACATACTGTGCCGCACAATCGCTTTACTATTGCAAACGGTAGCCACGGTTGAAACTTTCTCCCACAGCAACAAGACTTTAATCAGAAGTTTGCGAACATTAGTTGTGGAATCTCACGCATTGGTAGAGCCTGACATGGCAACACTGTGATACACTGTAAGGGATTCTTGGTATGCTGTAATGCAGCAAAGCAGTGCTTAAAGAACTGCACAGGAAGCAGGAAAACGGTTTATAGATTAATTTATGGTATCATTGATCCACGAGCATATGACAGTTCAGTGGTTTGAACTGATGAATTTATGTTGTTTTACTTTTCACTTCGCTTTGAAACTTTTAACTTTAGTCCAACCCTTAAACACAAACATACTTTAGAAAACTGTTACCGGGCACTTCCAACAACATCATGTGTTGTTAAACTTCTGGCAGAGTAAAGACTCTAGTTCTCTTCATTCCGTCAGTGTCCTCATTGTTTAATGTATGTAAGGAGTTAGTTTTCACATGGTACTCAATTTAGGAAGTGCTGGATAGTAGGTATGAAATGTCTAACATAAATAGTGTTGTCACAGAGACATTGTGCTTACATGATTCATTCTGTAAGGGAACTCCTTTGGAAAGGCGTAGGAAAATCTTGTTTTCACTGTTTGAGAAAAAACAAAACATGATTAAATTGTAACCGCTGCAGACAAAACACACTCTTAAGAGATAAAAGTGCGTTCACATTAAGAAAATGTATTACTCAGTGTGGCGACTTACAAACAGATGTCGCTGCAGAGATCAGCCTTGTATTGGACACAACTCCAAATTCCTAAAAGGAAAAGTTTGAAGTCATATCAAAAAATTAACAGCTCAAATACAACACACCAAGATGGAACAACTTGGAAGTTTAAATGAGGAGCAGGCCAGTTTGTGAAAGTCACATCAACCCACTCTGCCCTCTTAAAGCAACCTCATCTAAAAAGGTGTAAAGGATATGAAAATGTATTTTTGTACTGGCACCAAAGAAACCTCCATACCTCAACTTTGGAAGCTAGGAACACACAGGTGGGAGCCATGAGCACCGGATCTATACTTTTCAAAGAATACCTGTGTGCGAGAACATTTGAATATATATTAGAAGATTTGTGCACTAGCTATGGGTAAAATCAATAATGGATAGCTTAAATCGATAATGGAATCTATATTGCAGATTATAGCAGGTTTGAGTAATTATATAAGCGATGTGGATATGGTTATATTACAGAAATGTCAGATATACATGTCAATGTAATAGGACAGCAGGCAGAGCAACATTACAGCTGTATTATTATGATGCAAGTTCTTCTTTATTACCTGGCATAGAAGCGTTTGAAGTAAACAGTTGCAGTAGCGATGACCTGTTGCCGCAGCTTAAGATGTTCCCCCAAAGCCTGAATCACTAAAATACACATAAAAAAAAAAAAAAAAAAAAAAATAATAAAAAAAAAAAAAAAAATACGCAGAATAAATTTAATTTAATTTACAGTAACAAAGTGTGACTTAATTATGAAGTTTAATAAATACTTGATGGGTTGTAACTAATAAGTTAACTACATGGTATTTTTAAAAGAAGCAGTATATAAAAAGGTAAGATTTCACATTGACCTGTACAAAAATAATGCTTGTAGCGGGTTTTCTTTTTATACACTGATCTAACAGATTAAAAAGTATTGAAAGACGGTGCAAAGCTGCATGCTATAAAATATGTTATAACAGATATACCATTGGCAAAGAAAATCTGCAGCTTCCAGTATTCCTCTTCGGAAAGAAACTTGAGATCCTTCTGGCGCTCTTTCATCAGATCTTGCTTGTCCAGAACCCACTGCAGACTTATAGATAGAAGAAAAAGTAATTAATATATGTGGTAACATTTAATAATCTGACTGTGATGAGTGCAGCCAGCAGGCAGGTCAACTGTGTCAACATTAACCATGTAAGCCGTCGACGTTGCTGCAACACAGCGTGAACAATACAAACTCATCTGGATGTGAAGCATATATCTTGCTGCCATACTTGATAACAGCCTTTGTCCTAATAAGACTTCCCTTCTATGTTTTCTTTATAATAACATGAACTATAAAACATTGCAGCAGCAGTACGAGGTAAACAGGTAGCCTACGTTACAGCTAACATTAGGCCTCACAACAAACGCGTTGATTTACGAAATGACGCCGTAACACGTCGAAATATGACAAACACTTACTAATGAGAACTTTGCCAGAAGTTTCCCGCCATGTCGAAACAGATGAAGGAGAGAGGCACGCTTTGAATCGGTACCTCTTTTTCTACAAACAAGTCAAAAGCACAGGCAAACAAGTATGCTAAGTAGACACGAGAGTAACACCGAAAACCTTCCGGGTATTGACAGAATGGTTCCGGAATATCTGTTCCGCCTTCAAAAACAATCAGAAACCAGAGCTTTATAATACAGGACGATGATCAAAACAATTTTTTTTTTCTGTCTATCCTTCTAATAACAGTATTGCCATAGTTCAGGGATGGGCAACTGGCGGCCCCCATCGACCCTCAATGTGGCCCTCAGGTCAATTTTGACATATCAATTAATTGGAAACATGAAGAAAACATGACAAAATCTGCCATGAAATAGTGAAAACCAGAAATATGTCCATAATAATATTTGAACACTGGTATATGTTGAGATAAATTTGAGACATAATCGACTGTAATCGTTTTTTGTATTCTACAATTTGGCCCTCTGGCAGTGAGAATTAAATGAATGTGGCCCCTTGCTGTGACCAAAGTTGCCCATCCCTGCCATAGTTGATTGACAGATGGTTGATGGACTGACAGGTTTAGACTAATCATTGTAGGCCTAATAATTATCTTTTCAACCGCCTATACAGCGTTAGACAATTGACATTACCTTGATAAATGTTTGTATGGATAATCATCCTCGGGTAGGGAGGTTCAACATTCCTGTGAAGTGTGTAGGGAAGGGCTGAGGAGGATATAAAGACCTCACTGCGGATCTAAAGGAGCAAGTGAAAGTCGCAGGTTGAAGATCAAGAAGTCACAGGAGCGTCAACATGAGCCGCAGTCCAGAGAGGATGTCTTCATACCGCCGGCGTTTCGAGGGAGCCACGGCCGCCTCTAATATTTACCAGATCCGGATGTCCAGCCCCTCTCCCACCCGCAGGGACACCCGGCACCGGTCTGCCAGCTTCTCTCGGAGTGGAAGCTCAATGGGGCGAAGAGCCATCTCCAATAAATCTCGCATGACCAGGTGAGTCACCTGTAGCCTACATGTTGTTCTGTTTTTTTTTTGTTTTTTTTGCAGACAATTGTTTTAAACCTTCGCTTGTATGCTCATAGGTTGGCATGCTCCCAATGCAGCTTAAATCCAACTGTAGAGTCTGAGAGCATTATATTGTTTTGCATTCAAGTATTGAATGGATAGTGTAGATGGTTTAAATCAAAAACTGCTCAGGGGCAAATAATCTCAACCTTAAGCAAGTACCCAATTTATCAATGACAACTTTTAAAAATGAAAAGAACGAAAAAAAAAAAAAAGCCTTTAAAAATCTTCTTGAAACTATTATCTGGCCCTGCCTGCAGCAGTGCGAGTATGGGAGCGCTGTGCTTAGGGATGTCCATGGGATTTGGGCCCAAACTGGATCTGGATGCCGCCTCAGCGGAGAACCAGGCCTTTATGACGACTCGATCCAGTGAGCGGCAGGAGATGGTTGCCCTCAATGACCGCCTAGCAGCATATATTGAAAAGGCAAGCGGACCTACCACAGACAAACAAATATGTCATCCTCGAAAGATTATATATGTTGTATTTACCTCCCTCAACTCTCTTGCTCTTTAGCCTTCTTTTTCCATCGTATTATTTCAACATCAATGCTGTCTGTCTCACGTGTTTCTTCTTATATGTAGGTGAGAACTCTGGAGTCAAAAAACAAGCTCATGGAGGCTGAGATTGATGCCCTGAAGAGCCGACATGTCAAACCATCAGGCCTCAGGCAGCTGTACGAGTCGCAGCTGAAAGATCTGAAAAGGGTTGCAGAGCAGATGAGAGTCCAGCGGGTGAGGGGGTCCATCTCATGAGCAAAACATTTTTAGATCAGGGCTTTAGGTGACGAATTAAAAAGCCAGATGTAGCTCAAAATTGCGCTCCTTTTTTCTTCATTATCTGCTACATTCAATTTCACACCAGTTTCATTTGTATATTTGTCCTGTATAGAACCTGTCTTTGTCAGCCAAGGAGGGAATGATGGGTCAGCTGGACATGCTGAAGTCCAAATATGATGAGGCAGTGGAAGCAAGGAAAAAGACGGAGTATGACATTGAGATACTTCGTCCGGTAAGAAACACTTGGATGCTTTGCACAACTTTAAAATGAGTCAGTTTAAAATGTTTGCATAGAATTTGTTTATTCTTCATTTAGCCAAACCCATCAACACTTTTGTGGCTCCATTTCCCAGGATGTGGATAAAGCAACTTCTGCTCGGATCGCTCTGGAGAAACATCAAGAGCAGCTGGAGGTCGAGCTGGCCTTCCTGCAGAGAGTTCAGAAGGAGGTAACACATGTTTGTCTGGCTCCCTGTCTGTCCATATACAGACTGTTGTGTATGAGTCAGCTGCTGGTGACTGACATGCCTTTCATTTCATCAGTAATGATTAAATGAGTCTGTAGTTATTACCATGACGGGTCAGACTTAAACAGAGACACTGTTGATGGATTGAGAAAGACCATACCAAAGCAATTATCAGCAAGGTGTGAAGAGCTAATGGCAAGCTTGAGGTTAAAAGTGTGACTAACTTGTGGTAAATAACTGTTTCCATATAACTTAAATACCACATCAATTAACTGGGATATGTAATTTCAGATACATTCTTTATATCTGCTTGCTTGTGCACTTTTTAAAGGAAATCGAGGAGCTGATGCAGAGGATCTATTCAGCAACCTCCAAGGTTGAATTGAGTTTTGGCCTCCCGGACCTCTCCTCTGCTCTAAGAGAGATTCAGTCTCAGTATGACAGCATCGCCGCCAAAAACCTGCAGGTAGAGTGCAACTAAGAAGGCACATGATGTTCTGTGCATTTGTTTAAGGTTATTGAATCTAATCAAGAGTATTTGAACTCGTATTAAATGTAACGTAATGTGCTATGGGCTTGGATTGTAAAGTCAACGATCAGGGGTCCTTAAAAAAGCAGAGATCATTTAACGAAATAAAGATCCTGTTACTCTCTCCAGGAAATGGACGCTTGGTACAGCTCAAAGTTTCAGGACCTGAACAACGCCTCCAACAAACACGTTCAAGGTGTCCGAAGTCTGAGGGATCAAATTGCAGGCTATAAGAAGGATGTCAGTATATTTTTTAAAGTTTTTAAAAAATATATATATACATCTACCTCTTCTTAGCGTTTAAAAGCGTCTTATGTATGTGTGTCTGAAGATTCTCAACAAGCAGCGTGAATTGGAAGCACTGAAGACGAGGAACGAGTATTTGGAGGCTCAGATCCGTGAATCAATCGTAAAACACAAGAAGAAGGAGGAGGATCTTGAGGTAACTAATTTATAAATTCACAAAGTAGCTCACAGACTGCATTTTCAAAAACAAACTCTTCTGTCATGCTGCTATAGGAGCGTATCGAGGCAATTAAGCTGGATCTGAAGGCAACTAAAGAGAAGATCGCTCTGCTGCTGCGAGAATATCAGGACCTGCTGAACGTGAAGATGGCTATGGAGGTTGAGATCATTACCTACAGGTGAGAAGAACATTTACCATGTATTTCCACCTGCCTATTTTAGATTTGTAGAAAAAAGAAACTCTTCATATGAGTATCCCCCCCTCTTTTATGCCACGTTCCCCTTTCCTCTTTTTCACTTTTCAGGAAGCTGATTGAGGGGGAAGACAGCCGTCTGAGCAACATGGTCCATAATCTGTCCCTGAGTGGAGCCCTGCATCTCACTTCTAGTGTTAGCACACATGCTGTGTCAACCACTGTTTCAGTCTGTGACAGCTCAGCCTCTGTGATGAATTCAAAGCTTGATGGAGCCGTGGTTGCCAATGGAGACTTGTCAGACTCTAACATGGTCTCAGAGGAGCAGGCAACAGAGATGTCTGAGAGGAAGACTCTCCTCATCAGGTAGACGGGGATAGAATGCCTCTCAACTTGGATTTTGAGTCTTTCTTAATCAGAATAATTAAGTGACACTCAGATGATAAAGAAAATTTTAATTATTTTCTTCCCGTTTCTCCCAGAACAGTTAAGACAGAGGAGGACACCTATGAGAGCGACACACAGGAGCGCACCATCACTATTTCTGGAGCAGCCGACGACACGGATGAAGAGTAGACTGTTTATCTAACCCAAAGATTTCATGCCAGGTTATTTGGGGTTTACATGTTTTGAAAAACATTTAAGGATGACATGGAAATTAAAAACAATCCAGGAAAGTCAAGGATTGCAAGGAATGTGTTTGTCCTGAGCTGAAACCTTAATAATGATTTATGCTGCTCTGCCTGTGGCTAACCCCATGTCTGCCTCTTACTGCCTTAATCCTTCTGTGTGTCAGGAAAGTGCCTTTCAAAGTAACTAAATAAACCGCATGCAAACAATCTTGATTGTTGTTTTTTTATTTGTTTCCACAGTTTATTAAAACGAAAGCAGCATAAGCTTTTTTTAATTTCAGGAAAGTACAACTGCTACATCTCACCTAGTGTAAACTTGTTTTTAGTGTAAGTAATCGTCATAGTCAAAGCTCAAACATTTTCGATTTAGTAGGAAGTTACATAATAACCAATATTTAATAGAAACAACTTCAGAATCTGTGAAGACTACAGCTGTTGTAATCATAGTATATATATTACAGTACATAGAAACCTATTATTTAAAGGCACATAGCAGGCAGTTAGAAAAACAACAATTAAAGTAAACAAATCCCTTCATTGTACCTTCAAGGTGTCCCAAATCTTCAAAAAGACAGAAACACCAAAAATAAAGTGAAAAACTACAATCAAGTATGGGGTTAAGTTCAAAAATAAGTTGGCACTGAAATGAAATAAAATAGTGTTGCTGACTAGATTCAAAGAGAACTTGTGTTTCTATTGCAAAGGTTTGGGTTCATCACCCACTCCTCCAGCGAGGCGATAAACTGTGAGACTGACTTCATGTGCCAGAGCATCGGCACTCTCCTGAAAAACAAACACAATAACATTATGTGTCAGAGATAACGACTGAAGACAGGAAACAGGATGAGGACCTAAACAAACCCTTACCTGTGTTTCAGCCTCAGCGTAAACTCTCACTATGTCCTCTGTGCCGGAGGGTCTGACAAAGGAGCGAGCCTGTCTGTGCTTCTTCACCAAAGTGTCGATGGCCTCCTGCAGTCCTGCAGGGCTCACTGCCCTTCTTTCTGCATCTGCAGTGTCTATCATCCTGCGATCTGACACCTTTAATAATAATATCAGCGTACACATTATTTTTTGGGGGTGTGGCTCTGACGGGAGTGCAGATAATGCAAAAAACAGCAAAAGATTTATAGTAATTCATAGGTTAAAAGAAATCAGCTCTCAGCCGCCCCCTCATCCTGCTTTTTTTTTTTGCACAGTCTATGTATCACTCACTGCCTTGAAAAATGTAAATGTTTCTGCTGTGTGCTGTTCATCACACTGTCTGACACCTACCCTGCAGCGGTGGTTTCGGGCATTTATATAACTATATAGAAAAGTCAGTTTACGTTGAAACTATCTCATAAAGTGGCATGCATCAATATTAATTTTTCTGTTTCATAACCAGCTAAAACCCCTCACAGGAGCTTTAAGGACTTATAAAGTTTCTCAAGTCCATCCATCCATTATCTACAGCGCTTGTCATGTTCAGGGTCATGCGGAGGCTGGAGCCGATAGTAACCTCAAGTCAACAAATCAATATAAGGCTGCACTTTTAAACTCAAATAATACACCAAAAAGGAGATGAATTAATTAATTCATTAGATCTGAAAGTTTAAGGATTTGAGGGCATGCAAAGCCCTGAGGTCTGCTGTTCTGAAGCATTGAGTAAAATAGAATAAAAATGTTTACGTACATTACAGTGCAATGTATCATAATGCATTAGAATATAATGTATTAAGATGCAGTGAATGATAATAACCTTGACTTTGAGCTGCCTGTTGGGCAGGTCGCTGTAGATTGTGTCCCACTGTTGCACCGTCATACCCTTGATGGCCAAAATGGCTTCAATTAGCAGCATGTCAGAAATGGCATCACCTACGGTCTTGAAAAAGACACAGATCAGAACTTCCAGTGGGTGTTATTGTTATGATGATTTGCTTTAATGACTCAGTGTGTGCGTGTGAGTCTACCTGGTTTATGATGTTGATGGTGTTCTGCAGAAGGAGAGCCGCTCTCTTCGTCTCATCGTCAGTGCTCGCGTTCTCAGCTAGCTGCTGGATTTTCTCCTCGGCTTCTCCACTAAACAACACCTAAAAAAAAAAAAGACAAACATATTATGATACCTAATGGTAGAAATAATGTATTAATCACACCAGATTAAGCATAAAAATCACACAAACAAGTCTGTGCTTTTATTGTCGTGATGACTGATCTACTCACAGTTCCATGACCATTAGACTCAAAGTAAACACCAATATCGTAGTCCTGCGCGGCATGATGAAGGTGCTTCACTCCAGTTTTAGTGCACCTCACAATAACCTGAATCATCACATGAAAAGGTGTGAGCCCTAAACAGCGAAAGGAACACAAAGAAAATGTGACAGTATGTTTTCTCACCTTCATCGTGTTTTCCAGGTAATGTGTTGAGCTGCCGTTAGCATAGGCAGTTTGTACCACTGCTATCTTCAAGTCTAGATGAGCCTGTTTGAACAGAAACAAAAGCAGTTCACTAAGAGTTTGTGTATTTGTGCAAGTTTCTATTTTATTTCGTCTTTTGCATTTTTAAGAAAAACACCTGTTTGAGAAGCTCTTTTAGGAAAGTGCTGATAAGCGTTGCAATTTTGTCTCCATCCAGCAGGTGAAACTTTCCGTCAGAGTCGGTGAAGTAGTAAATGATTCGGTCAGCATCGCCGTCGAAGGAACAGCAACGCTCCCCTGGATTCATCTTCATGCCTTTACACACACAAGACGAGAGATTGGAAGTGGTTTATTAAAAGCTGCAACTTTCTTTTTCCAATTTTCTCCTGGTTGCCCTGCTGTAACGCAGCTCTGCAGTTTTAGTTCTGTAAACACAAATCTAGATACATATATTTTCCAATCATTAGGCACATGCCGTATGAACTGAATTGAAAACCAAAGTTTTTATACATTATTTTGGCAATTTGCTAATTTACCATCTTGTGGTTAAACATTACATCTGTGATTTTAAATCAAATAAACCCCAATAACAACACATCATATCTGTTATCATTGCTTATCAAGTAGATTTAAGTATCCTGGCTGCTCTGTCTGTATAAATATTTGCTTGTTGACCCATATGAAGCTGTGAACAGAACATACATTTCTTCTTATGACAAGTTTACAAAGCGAATTCCCACCTGTCGGAGGTTTTTGCTGCACTTTAACAAAGTCAGCCCCACACTGGTGGTTTAGTTTTCCTTCACTCCCATCATTGAACAGAGATAAATGCAGCTCCTTCTTCAAGTGACTCTCCATCTCTCGTACCTTTAGAGCACCAATACCATTGGCACCGTCCACTGAGAGGTGCTTCTGGTCATCTGTGCAATTGGACGCCTGGCAAAAAAGTGTTTTTGGATATAACACAAAATCCACACGCAACCAAAACAAACCAAAATGTAAAGGGCTTACGTTTAGTATCAAGACAAACCCAGATTGCTTACATTCTTTGTGAGCTGAATGAAGGCTTGGCAGAGTTTGTTATAGTATCCTTCCACTGTGGCTTCTCCATATTTACCCTGTGTGTTCTGACAGCGGACCATGTAGTGGAGCTGAGGGGTTGTCACCAAACCATAGTCTTTAGAGCAGGACAAGAGGAAACAGATGATGAAGTAAGTGAACAAATGGATTAATCATGTTAAGGAGATCAAATTAAACCTACCTTTACTGTGACCACCGAGTGCAGATACTCCATCTAATACTGCCTGTGCAAGGCTTGCACTGCTGCTTCTATGGAGAGGAGACACATGAACGCCTACACATGTAACATTACTGATGAGGATGATAATGGTGACAATATTTAGTTGGATTCTGATGCTGATCGAACTCCCAAGAACAGCTGTAGATGTAGTTGTTGATGAAGATTTAAAAGGAAAAGTGTTCTGCCTCTGTACACGGCCTGTCAGCACCTGCGTCCGTTCAGACTTAAAGCTGTTGGTTTGCACTTTCTGACGTTGTTTCCTCCTCTCTAGATCCTTACTTGTGTGTACGTACTCTCTGATGTTTGTTGCTTAATGAACTGTAGGTTTACTGTTCTGCACTGTTATCAAGAGAGTATGGGTGTATGAAACCCAAATTAAAGAATATCATATATACCTTGTGTCTTTGCCCACAAACACGGTAGCCTCCTGACTCATGTTTATGGCCTCCTTTTTGATAACATCCTTCAGAGCGGTAAGCAAATCGTCCTGCTCAGCATTGGCAAGCTGGGTAGCGTAGCCCTCCCATGTCAGTGCCACCATCTCCCCCATGGGGTCAATAAGCTTGACCCCATTGTCCTCCTACACAAGTGCAGATATACAAACAGAGACAGGAGAAAGACATTAAGACAAACTTATTTTTATGTGGTGGTTTGAACTATCAGGATCACATATAATGAAAGTTAAACAAAACAAATCCTAGGGTTATTAAAAGAAGGTTCTTACTTGAGGTATGGACATGAATGTGAAAAGAGGAGTAAAACAAGAACTAAAAAAACATCTACACAGAGTACTTACTAAATCATTTCATAGCATTACGGAATAGGACATTTCTAAATCCCTTTCTCACCTCAGGGTTGTGTGAGGCTGTGACCATGACTGCGATCGTGGCTTCGGTCTTTTTGGAGCGAAGTGTGGCCAGCAGACCCATCCTGAACATGACGTGGTCCAGGTGTTTGGCATTGGTCCTGAAACCAGCAGTGCCATACTGCAAAACCAAACCTACAGGTTTAGGGTGTAGACTGGACTGCTTTGACACTTCCTCAAACTGGGTCATAGCTACAATGCATCATGAAGAGAAAAAAAAAAAAGGTTACAATGAGAATTATACTGAATATTAAGAACACATTTCATCAACAGAACTACCACGTTGTCACAGTTTCTTCTTCATATCAGATTTGTAGTGCTTTCAACCACTATTATAACAACACACACCGATAAGAAGTGTTTAAATGAGCTTGCTGTTTGAAGCCATAGGAACTATTTTAGAAAACAATACTGAGCACATTATTAAAATGTAAACAGAAAAGAGAAAACAACGCCTATAGAAAACGTCCATACAACATATCAAAAGGACAACAGGAGGGCAAAGTTTGCAGTAAATTACATCAGCAGTTCGCCACCTACTTAACAGAGAGACAACCCCAATAAACCGAAGACTACCTATTGAATGATAGACCAACTTTACAGAGACGTACTGGGACATACTTTCATAAATCACCTGAGTGGACCCTGGACTCGAGTTGTCGTTTTGAACAAAAAGTTGTTCGCAATTCACTTACTGTTTCGTACCGTGGATTAGTAATAGTAGTGAGTGGCTATCAATGAAACCCTTCCTGGTTCTCGAGTTCTGACTGCACACTGTGGTGACGTGGCTACATTTCCGTGTACGTCACATGACGCAATTACGCTCGCCGTGCATTGAGCTCTCTCAGTGTGTAGATTAGTATATATACGGTGCTCTGGTGAGGGGGCGGCTTGAATACCCCGCGACCATAAATTAGTCACCTTTATTTTACTCTATACGCGCATTTCCTTAAAAATAAATGGCTTCTTATTTTTATTTTTAGACACAATCAAGCATATGCGTTTTTAGACCAATAGGCCTATTGTGAAAAAATAATGCTATAGGCCTACATGTTGTTATACAGCACGGTTTGTTCTTTTCTTAACTGAGAAATTGGAGAAATTGTTACTCAGACCCCATATCTTTATTGATCACAAGCACAGGGCAGAAACACTGAATGGTATTTTTGGGCAATGGAAGTTTTTCTTAAATGTGCTTCCAACCTGATTATGTTTCATCATCTGTGAGCTTGCATGCTGTTCGTGCAGACCTGTTTGAAATGCTGTGTGACATGCAGCAGCATAAGCTACAGTCACGCTCGTAAATTAACCCTTTGGCGCTTATGAACTTCTGTATAGTGACCCCCGTGTCAACTACTATTTAAAAAGACGTGGGATGAGACTTGTGCTATCCAACCCTGTCCAGGCACCACAGAGGGAGGAAGGGTAGTCTAGATGGATGTTTAGATAAGGCAAATAAATAAACAAACGACAGGGGGAGGGGGGGTGGAAGGAGGAAAGGAAATTCCCTTCTGTCGTTTCCCTCTTTCTAGCGCTGCGCAGTGTTGGCGACACCTCCGGAGAGCGGTGCGCATTTTCTCTGGAAAAGAGAGGACCAGAGCATCTGAAGCGGCTTTTTTTTTTTGGAGCCGAAGAGGACCGATCAGAGGCGACACTGCAATCTGACAACCGAGGGATTGCGGGTTCCTCTCTTTTATTTTGAAATTCGTTTAATGCACTGACGCTGGAGGAGCAGCCAAACCTGGTGCACCCTGCAAACGGGATATTTGACCGATCTAAGGAGGAGGCTATTGATTCTCGTTTCGCCGTTTAGCAAGGATATATTTTTTTTAAACTTAGCTTCATTTTTTATTTATCATCTATTACAAAATAAATAGTTACTGCTTTGTGGTGAGAAAAAAAAGCCTTTATTGCCAGCTGAGTGTTGCATAACCGAGTGGCATTAGCTGTCCAAGGTGCTGAACTGAAACGATCGGAGCCTAAAAACGGGACGAGCCGAGGGGAATTCACAACCTTGCGTAAGTCTACTCATGTCACCACGTATATTATCAACGTGACCGCACAATCTGATGCGAAAATAACGCTTATGATGTTGGCTTGAGCACGTTTTGTGCGTTTTTCCTTTTCTTGTTTTTTATCCGCCCACACAGAAGGTCACAGGCCTATCCATCGGGGGGGGGGAGAGGAAAGCACGGGACAGATCACTGAAGCACCGGGAAGGCTGCTGGCTTTTTATTCACACATTTCCTCCATCGTCCCGAGGTGAAAACACATTCCTGAGGGTGGTCGATTCCGCGGAGAGAAAATGTCGGGGCAAACGCTCACGGATCGCATTGCCGCTGCGCAATACCAGCTAACGGGATCAGATATGGCCCGAGCTGTGTGCAAAGCCACCACTCATGAAGTGATGGCGCCCAAGAAAAAGCACCTGGAGTGTAAGTGTGGCTCTTCTTCCTCTTTCCCACTGCAAGGCCTGGCTTAGCAGAGCCTATAGGCTAACCACACACATCCACGAAAACCACATGCTAACATGCTATCTTATCACTATGACCATCCAATTACACACCCCCTCAGCTTAAAAGGGTGTGGTGCCATAATGAATTGATGTAGCCACGGTGATGACCCCTCTGGTGACCCTTTGTGTCAGCCTCCAGTAAAGATGATGGAAACCCGTAGAGAGAGAGAGAGTGAGAGAGAAAGAGAGAGTGGGAGAGAAAGGTCATAATTTAAGGCGGACTGACAAATCATCCTTATTGGAAAAGACCATTTACTGTAATGGGCACTTGCATGAAAAAGTCTGTAACAGAGCTGCTGAAACCCTGCACGATACTAAAGTCTATGCACACACACTTAATGAAAATGTCGATCCCATGGATGTTGTCTGAACAGCATGCAAAGAAACCTCATAGTGGTGAGTTTAGGCCATGAAGTGACAGCTGAATCGAAAATACAACCTCACAGCTTTATTGACACATTCACAGACCAGGCTTGGGCCTCCTCATGACAAATCATGATTAATCTCTGTCATCTACCACAAATACTGAGTCAGGCCAAAGCAGCCACGTGGCGCTGCATACAGATGATTGCTAGTCTGATTGCTTCTTTTTTTCTTAATGTCTGCCCATGTGTGTCTGTGTGTCTGTGTGTGTGTGTGTGTGTGTGTGGTCGCAAGGCAGGTCTGGCCCCTGCTTCTTGGGCCTGGACCTTATATCTTGTGATCCGCTCTGCTGATGAATAATTCAACAATCAGCCAATGACTGCCTTGCATTATTTACACAGCCAAAGGTGACCATGCTAAGGCTAGCATGCACCACAGACCATTGTTTCCCCACTCTCTCCCTCTCTGCTGCGTCTGTGTGTTTGCTTTTTATGTTTTTAACTTCCGACTTTGTGCAGCTGTCGAGCAAACTGTCACCACCTCTTTCGTTGACTGCAGGAGACAGCGTTTTAATGCCCAGAACACCCCTAACACATGGGACTATCGCTTGACACTTTATATTTAAAAACATCCAGATCAAGATAAAATGCATACACATACTGACGAGTAGTCTTCCAAGAGGTTGTTAGTCAATGATTTTTGTGCGGTATCTGTTTCTAGGGCAATTCAACAACCCTGTTGTATGTAGGCCACTATGCTTCTCTCACACAGGAAATCCTGACACCGTTTCCACTCATAGCCACAATATGTTTTTGATAAATTGACAATATATACTCATAGCTTGATTAAAATATGTGTCTTAATATAGTTTAGACCTAGAATGGGATCAGTATTAAACAGTTGTTCATATTTATATGAAGATAAATATGAACAACTGCTTACTACAGTTGAAAAGAACATGTTCAGGCCATTTTCTTTTATACCGCCTGTGTTCAGTATTTGATGACATTTCAATAAGTTGTGTCTGTTCCTTTCTCACAAGTTTTGTGACCCCTGGGGTTGACGTGTGTGCGCTATTGGTAGTGGTTTAGGAGGTGCCATGCGGTTACCATGGCAACAGATTGCAAGTGTCTGGGGGTGGCACCATTTGGACAGAGGGAGATTGTGAGAAAGAAGAGGGAAAATGACAGGGCTCTTATCTCTGGAGTGCAGAGACAATTATGATGAATGTAGATTTCTTTAGCGATGAGTGCGGAATTGCAATGGCCTTTCAGTGCAGGTGGTTGACTTAATTCCTAACACGTTTCGCCACTTGTTGAGAGAAAAAAATGGCTGTTACTGAATTTTGGATTAAATATATTAAAATGCTACAGACGTTGTAGGAGTTCCTTTCGTTCAGGTGTTGTACCAATAATTTTGACCCTTACATTTACTACAACAAAGGAGCTGTAAAGGAAATATATTTGTGCAAAACAAACATTTCATTTAGATTAAAGTTTCTATATATATAAAATGTGATTGTTACTTATGTACACAGGATGCAGGGAAAGACCCGGCTATCAAAGCTGTGATTTCTCAATATAAACAGTAAAACGCCTCATTCAATTTCAAACTCCAGTTTATAGCCCTCTTAGTGTGCTGTATATAAACATGGTGGGTGCAGAGAAAATACAAGTGGAAGGGATTTGTCAAAAATGTCATGCAGCAGTGCATACATGGTCAATTTAGAGAGTAGTGTTCACACAACACCAGAGGCAATGGGTTCAAACTATCTAAGATCATATTGTGGGTCTAGTAATAGCTGGTAAGGAGGAACAGCTAGCCTGCTTCTGTGTGAGTATAAATCCAACTACCAGCATCTTCTCAGAATTTTAGCTGGTTATGAAACAGACTGGAATGAATGTCGATGCCTCATTATGAGCTAAAAAAGAAAACTGAACCACTAGTAACATCAATAAAAATGTAGCCTATAGTTATTTTTAAAGCCTGAAAATCCTGCCGCAGGGTAGGTGTCAGACAAAGTGATTAACTACTCCCTGCTCAAAAAGCATTTTTTTTTAAAAATACAGCTGCAAAGATTTTCATTGAGCTGATAAATAATGGAGGGTAATTTTCTTGTGTGCTAAAAAGCACTTCTTATGTGTTGGACAAAATCAGGAAAGAGGTCTGCTTCGACCACAGTGGTGCCAAAATCAATGCAAACCAAGAGAACCTAACAGCAGCTGTAAGCTTTTTAGATCTTTGATTTAATAACTAGAAAAAAATAGTTAATTTCTGGAACTTACGGGGCTTATGGCCCATCTTTTTCTCGACAGGAAGCAGTAATAATATTTAGCATTGGGGGGTGCTTTTTGATTGCTTTTGTTACCTTTCGCAGGACTAGGCCAGTTTCTTTCCCCCAGATGTTGTCTGTGTTTAGCAAAGCTAGTTGCAGCCTTATATTCAGGGCACAATGTTGGTATTTATCTCCTATTGTAACACTCAAGCAAGAAAGAAAATGTCAAATATTGCTTTGAAGTGTAACCTAGTTAAAATGTGTTTTTGTCATAGCTGACGGCCTTGATTCATGCATTGACATGATAGTTGTTCTGGTTGTAAATTATATTTCAGTCATCTATTTAATGAAAAGCATAAATATGTTGATGGCACATCCTGCTCTGGTAGGGGCTTGCTAATGTTGAATCCAAAGAATGTCTTGAATTTTTTTCTAGCTAGCAGATATTAACTGTCACGGTTGGCTTGAATGTTCTCGCTTTCAATGCTATTTCCTGCTGCAAACAGCTGAAAAATCTGAACCAGTGTCTTAGCTTCCTTTTATAGGAAACACATAAATATGCTGACTCATATGGAGCTCTGCTTTGAGTTTCATGAAATTTTGTATTGTTTCATAATTCATACAAGAGTCCTAGCTAACCCTAACCCTGACCCACTAAATTGTGTGATGCTTTGTTGTTCTAAAACCTACAATTAACAAACATAACCCTTATGTTTCATACCTATAGTTTTACTTTCTACCATTTTCTTTTTGTACCTTTAATCCAAACGTGAAATCTGCGTATTACTCTCATGTTAGCATTGCGCTAACATTCTCATTTAACACAACATTTTATAGATGTAAAGATGAATAGCTGTATAACTTTACACCTGTGCAAAGTTTTGGAAATTTGTGAGTGAACCAAAGAGTGTATACTGTATTATATAGCCAGCAGTGAATAAGTGAAATAGAGACACAAATCAGATTTAAATTGGCTTAACGCTTTAAATATCTAATAGAATTATAATTAAGCTTTCAGGGTGGATAAACACAATGATATGAATGGGTTTCGATCTAATATGCTGGCCTCTAGTTTAACTTTAAATAAATGATTACAGCAGACAGACACAGACTAGGAAAAGACACGCTGTAACAGACACACACAAACATACACACAGCATGAGGCCTTACTAACAGCTCATTATTAGAAGCATGGCCGTGGATTACCGTAAGAGTCTTTATTTAGCTCTGCCAATCCTCATTAGACATACACACGTATGTCCATGTGTGTTTGTTTCCTGTAATGATACCACAACAGGAAGCATGGATTATACGACAAGATAAGGCCTGTTTATGGCAACACATCAAACACGGGTAAACAGATATAATAGCACATGAACACAAACACAGTTTTTATGTTTTTTATGAGTGTTATGGGCTTAAAGTCAGAGGGTGTGCGTTGTGTTCAGAATGTTAAGATATGATAACGTTACATAATACAATTTCAGCCATTGTGGACCATCACTGTGTGTGTCATCTAAAAAGGCCTCGGGGGTTTAGAGTCCTCAGCCATTTCACAAAGAAGACCAAAAAACAACGCAGAGGGCAATCTGTAAACAGGGGATTAAAAGGAGGTAAACCATGAAGAAGAAAGACTTCAAACAGAAAAGGGGAAATTATCCTGTATAGGGGATAATGTAGTGGAGACTCATTTCTAAGTTAAACCATGTAGGTAGAATGATTGCTGTCATCTCAGCCTTTATGTAATACAGAAACATCAGACATGATCAGAGACGTCACAGTGAGGATGTTACCATCTGGTCAGGCTGTACTGAGAGACATGGAGCATAATTAGTAACAAAAAGATCTGATGAAGATATGTGTTTACTTCATTCACTTATAACTCAAACTAGTAAAATCAATATAATCAGGATACGATTTAATGAATATCAGAGCTGCCTATTTCATCATGTGGCTGGAAGAAGAAGAGATTATTCTGAATCATTATGATGGCAGGTTTTGACAGCACTGGTGACAAAAAGCTGATAATGGTGTCACACAGGTAGAGTAAAACAGGTGTGTGCATGTGTGTGTGCGCGCCACGCGGGGGATGGGCGTAGAAAGACCAGAACCAGTGATTAGTCATAATCTGTTCACATCCCCCCAACCATCACTTCCCCTGTAACCCCCAGCCCCTCTGTCCAACGTCCTGCTGCCCTGTCACGACCTTGAGGAGCCTCACTGCTCTGACAATCATGTCTCTTTACATCTTACATACTCATGTCAACATACTCCCTGCTCTTTCATAAAAGGACTTTCTCTTCCTCCTCCTCTTGCTCATCACCTTGCTGTCAGTTCGGTATCTAACTTCTCAAAGCAAAGCCAAGGCCTGCTCAATATAACGGCCTTCCTCTCCATCTATTATCAGACTTGCCTGCCGATACCTGCTGCAGTCCTTTCTGTTCGGTTACGATAAGAGCTGTTCTTGTCTCTTAGCTTTCAATGTCTGCAGGAACAAATAAATACATGCATTTATATTACAAGTAATGTTTAGATTGCTAACGTTTAAATGAAGCTCTTATTGTGTTCTTATTTCAACATTATCACTCCAACCTAGAAATATCTGGCCATAACATGAGTATGTGGAACAATTTGAATGCCCCCTAATGGCATAACTGGCAAACATTCTGGATTATAGCTTATTAGTTAAATATCCTCAATCAAGATTCAAAGTCTGACTTCCTCCTCATGAGTAAATCATCTCCCTCTCCTCTTTACTTGGATGTCTCTGTGGCCATCTGTCGGCTAGTCTCTCTCTCTCTCTCCCTCTTTCTCTGGAGAAAATCTGTAAGCATATTGAGTTAGAAAAAACACTCTCTTATCAGATAAAAAAGAGGTTCTTGTTCTTTATATTTTTATAGTATTTAACATCTGTAATATGTGTATTTTGATTTGGCACATGTTTCGGGGATGTCTGAGAGGAAATTACTTTATAATTACAGTAGTTTGACATTATAAAGGTATAGAGCTTCGCACCAGCTTTATGCCACAGGAAAATTGTGTAATACACTTTTGTGTATGTTTAATATGATAGATTTGCTTATTTCATTTAATTGAAGTTTCTTCACAGAAGAAGCTTGTTTTTTTCCTTCCTCTTTTTCTGTGTTCATTACTTTCACAAAACCGAATTCCTTGTAAACCTACAAGATAATAAACCTGATTGTGGACATAAATCAATATAATATAATTGATAAATGTATCTATTTTGTGTTTAATATCATAGTAGTGTAACACAGAAAGAATTATTTGATGTATCTAGATAGATAGATAGATAGATAGGTAGATAGATAGAGGATACTTTATTGATCCCAAGGGAAATTCTAAATCTGCGCATCTTTTGCTCCCGTTCGCTTTTTATACCACCTCGTGCTGATGTGATGTTCTGCTCCTTCTCTGCTGGAGACAACTCTGTCAGAGTCTGAACTGGCACCACAGGAGGAGAGCTGACAAAGCATTATTCTCTCGTACTGTGTGCACTGTCAGCGTGTGTGTGTGTGTGTACGTGTGTGTGTCGGTTCAGGTCTTCCTCCTGGCTTATTATTCTCCTCGGTGTCTGGAGCAGCTCTGCAGTGAATACTTAATCAAAGTTTAATCTGAGTTGTTCAAATTATGTCAGCGTTTGTCAAAGACCAAACTAACCTTGACCTACCTCTTAAAAAGCAACTTCCCACCCTAGAAAACTACTCTGAATTTCTTAATGATTTGAATGTAGATTTGAAGTGAGGCTCTTTGAATAATTATTTTCATTGTTGCTTGTATTGCAGACCTGGTGTCAGCCACCAACACCACCAATGTGAACATCCCTCAGATGGCCGACACGCTGTTCGAGCGAGCTACCAATGCCAGCTGGGTGGTCGTCTTTAAGGCCCTCGTCACCACTCATCACATGTGTGTCCATGGCAACGAGGTAAGTGGGAGGGATTGAGGAAGACCCATCATATGTTACAGTGCAGTTCATGCTTGATCCAGGTTAATTTAGTGAAACATAAGAGCTTAATTTAACTGAATGCAGGATTTAAAAAAAATGAATTGTAGAATTAATTGGATTAACGTAATTATATTCTAATGCAAATGTTAATTTCTAACGGTCTTTAACTCACTTGTGACGTTTCCACATTGGATAACTGAAAATGGTGTGCTCTGTGGATTTTGTGTTGTTCTTCGAGTTTCACAAATGTATAAAGGCTTTGACAACAATTATTTAAAGATATTGTGGGTTAAGTGGATGTGCTGTAAAACCGCCATGTACAACAAGATAGCATGCAATACATGAATGTGTTTCATATGTTCTATATATTTTTTTTGTATTTCTTTCCTTCACTGCCCTTTATAGTTATAATCCTAATTGTTTCTTCTTTCGCTCTTTCACAGAGGTTCATTCAGTATTTGGCTTCCAGGACCTCCCTGTTCAACCTCAGCAACTTTATTGACAAAACCGGCTCTCACGGTAAAAAAAAAAAAAAAACACCTCACTGTGATTATTGTGTCTGTGTACTGAGGGTAGTGGCTCATAGCTAAATTGATCTCAGTATCTGGCAGTGCAGAAAAAAAGAAGCAGGAAGAGAGCCATCTGGCAGATAGGAGGGGCTGGACATGACCACACATGTAATTTTACACACATGCATGCAAACAGATGCTGGCGTTTCTGTCTCAGTCTGCTTATATCGCATGTTAAATTACATTTGAAGCTACATTTATTTAAATTCCCAGTCAGCACAGCTATATTATGTTGCAATGTCTCTGATGCTTTTTGTTTGCCTTTTCGTGTGAATCTAAGAAGCACATTTTAATATAGCTGATACATTTATAAACAAATAAATATTTGAGGAAATAAACTATATTACTATTCAAATTTGCTACAAAATATGGTGCTGTTTCTCCTCAAAATTGCTGTCTGCATGTGGTTGAAATTGAAAGCAAGGCAGCCTTGTGTGGATAGTTTTTCCCCGCCTTTCATGCAAATAACTGCTACCCAGCACCAACAGTGAAGTTTTTGATCGCATCATGGTTCTCAAAACTGTGGTCCCTAATGGTTTGAGCTGAATTCCACAAAATATGGGATGCAGGACAATTTCTAAGGCACCCTGAAATAGGAAAATGTCAACAGGAAGTGATAGTAACCCGCACTTCATGTCCCCATGCTACAGCTAATGTTAAATTAGCTGTGAGGAGAAAATGTTTAGCCCAGCTCATAGAAACCTCAGGACGTGCTTCACAAAGGAGAAAGTAAGGGAAGAAATTATAAAATGCATTACAGTATTCCAAAAAGACCAAAGAATATCATAATTTTACGATTAAACACTAATAATGAGCCTTTTCCGCCTCTTGATGTATGTTTCTGGTTAGGCTATGACATGTCTACATTCATCAGACGGTATGGACGATACCTGAACGAGAAAGCCTTTGCCTACCGCCAGATGGCTTTTGATTTCACCAGAGTCAAGAAGGGGTGAGTCAAACAGCTGTTCATATCTCTACCTTCTTTCTACACAGATCATGCAATTACCAGTCAACAATTCAAAGTTTTTACTGATCATCCATACTTCACTGAATCACTGTTTGTTCTGATCCATGTGGAGCATCTGATTCTCTGCTGTTGTTTCAGTGCTGAGGGTGTGATGAGGACTATGACCACTGAGAAGCTGTTGAAAGGCATGCCTGTCCTGCAAACTCAGATTGACACACTCCTGGAGTTTGATGTGAGTGTGACTCTGATTTCCACACTTACTTTATAGAAACATGCAGCATCACATTTTCTGTTATCTTTGCCTTTTCAGATTCATCCAAAGGAGCTGAACAATGGGATCATCAATGCGGCATTTCTGCTGCTCTTCAAGGACCTGGTCAAACTGTTTGCATCCTACAACGACGGAGTCATCAACCTGTTAGGTCAGTAGTGCATGAGGAACTCTTGGTTGAAACTTTACAAATAAAAACACTGATTAAGATGAATGTGAACCTAAACACTTCTTGTTTTTATAGAGAAATACTTCAAGATGAAGAAGAGTGACTGTAAGGAGGCCTTGGAGATCTACAAGCGGTTCCTGACCAGGGTGACAAAGATCGGAGAATTCATGAAGCTGGCTGAGGTAAGAGATCCACCTGTTCTCAGTATGACCTTCACAAGCGGTATCTCTGTCTGAAGTGTCTATTTCATAGGACAGTTGAAGTATCTGCCCTTTTACTTGTGCACCCACTGTGAGAACTAGGACACTACTTAGAGTGACATTTTAACCTTGTACGAAAGACCCAATATTCAAACAGCACAGAAGGATCCTTGGCGAGTTTATTTATGTTTCTTTGTCCAAACATAAAGGTTACTATCATTTTAATGTGTGTTAGTATCAGCTAGTAAAAGTCCCTTAAAAATGAAACACAATACAGAAAGAAGTCTATATTTGCCTGTCTGCTTTCCAACTCTGTTATTAGCGACACACATAGTCACAGACACAGCTTATTCCATCTAGTTGTTGTTATGGTAAGAACGAGATGTACAGTATACCAACCAACAGCTGACAAGTTTGAAAGTGTACCTATCCCGAAAAAAACCTATGACAGCTCCTCGATTGGCAGTTCCTTCAAATGCTATTGATGTTTATTAAAAAAATGAGTTCAGACCAACTCATCTGATTAGACAAGAGGCATTCTATGAGTGTAGATGTAGAGTATAACAGAACAATGATTTTTCACTATAGATGCATAACTAAATATTGTTAATTAGTTTTAAAGCAGAGGCTCTTTGATAAGATAGTCAGAGGAAATGTTTAGTAGATAGAGTGCAGGAACATGTTTATGGGTGCAACAGTCTGCTTGCTTGCAAGTTGCAGAACTGGTTTAGTTGGTGTTTTACTTAAACCGGTAAGGTAACTAGTACAACTATTGTAAAGCAGAAATAAAACATTCAAGGTTGAGCTGTTGTACTGCTTATCAAGATGACTACAACGTAATCATTGCCGTGCCAATATTCAGTACAACAGCACTCCCCATTGTGTGGTATTGGTTAAATATATAGTGTTAGAATTGACAGTATGGGCACTGTTTGGCAAATTTTCCAACTTGTTTATTTTTCTTACTCCACAGACTGTTGGAGTTGAGAAAAACGACATTCCCGACATCAACTACGTAAGTTAACACATTGTAGCTATCATTTATTAATCCCAGAAGAATTGTTACCAAGCATGTAGAGCACATCAACCATCCCACTTCAAAAACACATAATGACCAATGAATCACCCATCACAATCTCCTCCTGCCCAGTGTCTCCACCCTGGGGTAGTGATGGATCTAGCAGATTCAGATGACGAAGATTGTCCGTTTAAACCTCTCGAGGACCCGGTAACCACAGGGTGTCCTTGCTGAGTGCCTGATTACAGGATGGAGTGTCGGCATGTTAAGCTCAAATAGAATTTCACAAAAAGGTCATGCCAGTCCTGTGTGTTTGCGTTTCTACATGCATGATGGAAGTGCAGTGAGATAATCTAATTCTCTGTCTCTCTCAATTTTTCCCACTTTTTCTCTGGTAGTTGGAACACAAACACAGATGCTGCAATGGTTGACAAAATTGAAACTGGTTATTAATTGATTGCGCAACCTTTTTTTTTCAGGCTCCCAGCAGCATCCTGGAGAGTCTGGAAACACACATGAATGGACTGGAGGATGTAAAGGGCGGAAAGAAGGGGTAAGAGATTGTCGAGCTAGTACTCTCTTCATTTCCATTTGGGTGCTTGCCATAAAAGAAGAATTACAATCCCGCCTTGACATAAGGAAAAGAAGGTGGACTCTGGGAAGCTCCGTGCTTGTTTTTCAAAAGTTGTGTGACTGAAAAACTTGAGTAATCAAGCCAATTGTTGGTAGAAAAAGGTCTAACAAGTGCTTTTCCTATGATTTCCTGTAACCCTTCCTCTCTTTTATCCCCTTTTATGTTCATTTGGAATCACCAGTGAAGGGTGAGCATATATTGAATGTTTTGGAGTTTTCTTACTTCTCAGAGAACTGTAGATTTATTTTACTTATCAATCCCCCACCACCACCAGGTAAAGGTACACATTATTCACATGTGGGTTACACTATGTTGATGATCTCCATGTGAATAGACATCAAAGTTTACTAGGATTTTGTGTTGACATGTGTCTATTGATGTGTTTACATGTGTGAACTGAACACATGTTATGAATAACAGTAGTCACCTCATGTGTATTATTGCATCCTGACATGCAATGTGGATCATTATATGAAGGGTTAAATTATTGGAACTTCATCAAAAATGTCTGCAGACAAAATGAGAGTGTTTTTCCGTTTGTTCTTTGGAAATTAACTCTTCATATGATCACATGAAATGCAATCTGTCTTCTAGTTTTGTTCAATGTCTTTCTTCAAATACACCCATCAGATAATATCCAATATGTGCAGAAAAGCTGTCCTTTTCAATTAAAACACTCACAAATGAATCTGTCTTTGCTCTTTCAGGTCTCCAACAAAGGTAAGATTCTTTCAAATAATATAAAAAACTATTTTTTTTGTTGAGCTCTTTGGGTCTGATGCCAGACTGAAAGGGTTTCCCTTGTCTATCTTCCAGGGCTCTCCAACGAACAATGTATCGCCAACATCCACTCCAGCCAAATCTTCAAACGCTGTCCCCACACTGCAGCCTCCTCCTGGGGAGAGTGCTGCTGCTGCTGCTGCTCCTGAGCCGGCTGAAGAGTAAGGGCCTCATTTTACAGCAATAGATCATGTCTGTCTCGATGAGACTTTTTAAAAATGTATTGGATTTGTGCCGATAAAGTTTGAATTTGTAATGAGTCCTAAAAGGTTTGTGGATGTACTCATCCGGTTCAGAGGTTCACCATGTGGTCTAAGTGGAAATATTTAAATCTATTGAATTGATTACTGTGATATTTGATACATACGTTAATGGATACCAGAGTCTGCACCATACCTGATATACCTCTGATTGTCCCCTCTGCTCCTACATGGGTTTTTGAGTGAAAAATCTCCAAAACATTAGGATTCATGATATTAACCTCAGCTGTGTGTGTGGTTATATCAAATAGATAAATGTTAGCATGCAAACACACTAAGTCTCTAGCTCAAAGTACATCTGGCTACTTCTGATAATGATTCAATTAGGAAACAGCACATTGATAGTCATTCCTTGAATAGAGGTTTTTTTTTAGACAACAGTTTCCCCGCCCCTTTACGAGCAAACATAATGACTGATTATTTCATTTGACCATATTTGGTATTTACTTCCTAGCGAATAAAATGTTGGATAGGACATGGCTGGTTGCATTAGCTGTTGTTCAACTCGCCTTTTTTCTGCCTCATCTTCCAGTTCCTTGTTGGACCTGGATCCACTGTCCTCCTCGGGTCCCTCAGGCGGGACATCAGCTGCTCCCACATCTTGGGGAGGTAAGTCCCTTCTTCCACTCGTTTCAGAAGCTGAAATTCACTTTTTAGCATTCACATTTCAATGTTAACTGCAAAACATTTAAATATTTACTTTTCTTTGTAGAGCTTGATTCATTTACATTTAAACCACTACAGTCTAAAGGAACACCTCATAAACAGTTTGAACTAACACATTTCCCCTTTCCCATGTTTGCTTCATAGATCTCCTTGGATCAGGTGAGTGTCAGTCAAAGTTTCTCATTCACCTCCAGTCAATTGCCTAGACTAAAGTACAGTAGTCTTAAATCATCCTCCAGGATACCTCAGTGTGTATGACTTTCTTTCTGAGCAAACTCTTATCTGAAATTGAGGTCAACTGGAGGCCATGTTGGTGTTTTAATCCATATAAAGCAGACTTCGATGTAGAAATGCTATGTGGTTATCTCCCTGTTTGTCTCCTCAAGTTGTTCTCTTTAGTCTGAGTGTCTTTGTTTCTCTCTGCCTTCTCTCTCCCTTCCCTCCACATACTCCATCGTCTGATTTTTGGTTTATAATGGGGGCTATTTTTGTTGGTTGTTTTATTGGTTATGATTGGGTAATGTTGATAATTTGACTATCTTAATTTGGTTAATATTTGGGTTTCTTTGGTTGGTAAATCCTATATTTTCAATTGGATTTGATTTAAATTGTACTTTTGTTTCGCTTTGTTTTGTTCACTGTTGGGACGGTGACTCAACTGGTTATTTGGTTCCTTTTTTGGGTTATTTTTTGGACCTTTTCTTTTGGGCTTTCGAACACCCTGTTGGTGCTCGCAGAAATGGGCGATTCCTTGCTATCTGAACCCACCCTCACAGCAGAGACCGCCCCCTCCCCTGCAGCGACGCCCACTCCTGCAGCTGCAGAACCTGGAGTCTCTCTAGCTCCTCCCACTAGCACAGCAGCTGTCACCTCCCCTGGCACCGCCAATATGGATCTGTTGGGAGGTCAGTGGGCTTCCAGAAAATTCTCTATGAAAGAATCACTCTGGGAAGCTCAATCCGAGAACCATCACACAATATAACACAAAGACGACTGCATGCACAAACACATACAGTATCTAGACTGAACTTCACTAATATTTGTTGTATTCTGCTGATGATGTTTCATCATCAATAACGTTGAACTTAAAATGATGCATTGATGTACACGCTCATTGTTTTCAGCTTCGATTTGAAAATAGAGCACAATAAATAATCATGAAATAAATAATTATATATATATGATATAAAACAATGAACTGTTACTTGAGAACTTAACCTAATACAGAAGATATTTTATGGACTTTATTATTAACATACAGTAAGTACATTACGTGATAGCATTTCCCCAATAACAAAAAAACTTCTTGCCACATTTTATTTCTTGTCACTTTAATTACCCTGAAACCTTTCAGCTGATCGATTGCACTTGATCTATTTTAGCCAGGCTATTTAGGTAGATAGCTTCAGTTAGCTACTGATACAACAATCTTAAAGAGTAAGCTAGCTAGATTGTTAGCTTAAATTAGCCTAACATATTATTACCTAGCATCACATCCATGGCAGGTCATAATATGTTAGGCCAGAGGAGCTACATTCCCAGTACACCTGATTTACATTTCCCTACAACTGGAGGAGAAATGGTCTTAATCTTTGTAAGCACAGATGATCTGGTAGGCTATTATAATGAATTTACATATCCAAGCTTAAATCTCCTCAACAGCTACATTAAGTGCTGCCCCAAAAAATACCAAACATGTTTGATGTATAGGATTCAGTAACAGGACTGTGACAGTAAAGATTCCAGCATTTAGGCTGATTTTAGCTTGCATACTATTGTGATGGAAATTAAAACTTATAAAATTCAAAATATCACCTCCAGTTCTTAATGAAAGAGAGGTGACTGATGAATTGATTGATCATTGAATCAAAACACTGATGAGGTTTGACCAGCACATGCTCTCCTTACCAAATCCTTTAACTAGTTAGATTTTAGAAGAGCTGTACTAATAAAAGGTAAGACCACAGTTATTTAAGTGAAACATTGCTGAATGAAAAGTGACACAAAACATGTGAAATAAAATCTAAGTACTATTGGGTTAATGCAGATACGTTGATTTTTTTTTAAGACTTCTAATAACTTTGCAAGTATGGAAATAGTGATGGAAAACATCCAATAAGAAGATAATAGTAATTTATTGTATTCACAATTACTTGTTAATTTATTAGTTTTGAATATCTTATTCGTGTGATTATTTATTTCATGATTCATTACTTTTACTTCTTCATGCACAATATAGTGATGTGAATATAAACACATTATCACAATGACTCTGTCTGGCACAAGCACAAGTGCAATATTCCTTTACAGATACTCCACATACTCTCATTTTGTAGCTGCACACTCAGATTGCACATACTGCTACACTCATTCTCCACATGCATCTTGCTTGATTGGCAGACATGCTTTTCTATGACCTCAGGGAAAAGCAATTCTGCCAAACCCTGTCACATGGCTACAGTTACAGATGGCAGCTGTAACACTTGTAGATTTCAAGCTTATTCTGCTCTCCGTGCAGTAGATTAATCCTTGCTGTAGTGCCTCCTGTCTGTATTCCCATTTGTCCATTCACCTGTCAATGTCTGATGCTTGAGTAGCTTCTTATCTAACCTCAATTATCCTGATGTTTTCTTTTTCCTCCTTACACAACTTGATTGTTTATTTTTCTTTTCAACTTTATTTCTTGATCTCTCTCTCTCTCTCTCTCTCTCTCTGTCTCTGTCCTCTCCTGGGGTTTCTGTGAACCTCAGATACCTTTTCAACACCCGCTCCTACCACTGAGGCCTCTGCAGCCACTGCTGAAGGTGGTGCCGCTGCTTCGCCTGCCCCTGCTACGAACGCCGGAGCTGGTGGGTGTCTGAAAGTTTGTTTCTGTGTTTGTATGGCTGTTTGAGTAAGAGTGAGGGTAAAAGCAACAAAGTAGATGTGCACTGTAGGTGTTCAAAATCATGAAAAGCTTTCCACTGCGATACAACAACTATGCCCTTTGCTGAAGTCCTGTGAGCTTTGGCCCTTTAGCTCTTAAAGCCTTATATCATATTCACCATGTACCCTTCAAGTTGACATTAAAACACTTTTACAGGATTCTCGTTTTAAATCCAGTCAGGTGGAAATGTTTAAAGCAACAAAAGACAGCGTTTTCATCAGACTCATTAAGCTAACTGTAGGCTAACTAACATTAAAAAATAGCTAGCTACAGGGTTCTTTAAAGCTGAACAAACCAGGCAGAAATTAGATGCTTGCTTTTGTCTATGCCTGTTTGAAATTAAGAACATATTTTTCAAACAAACTACGTAGAATTTCAAGAGGTAAATACTCCAAATTCAAAATGATTCTTTGAAATGCATTTGTGTCATTTGTCTACAACAGTAACTAGGGCGGAGCACTGGGTTGCACCAGCTGTGTGTAAGTTCAAACATGGCCTAGTTTGAATGTCATTTCTAATTGAGCACAGAGTTTACGTTTTAACATTTAAGGTGTTGCACCAGGTCAGACATCTTAAAGGGGTCATATTATGCTTTTTCTATGTTTTCCAAGTGTCCTGTGCATGTTTAGGCACATCTATGTGCAAAAATTCAAAGTCCGCGGAAACGCAGCTTCTCCTACGTCCTCCTGTTTGCTGCAGCATTAGCTGCATGTAACGCTCGGTTCTAGCCCAGCTCGAATTTTTTTTGCCAGTGTGACGTCTTGTCAGTGTGATATCACTGATCTAAGACCATTGGCTCATTGTGGCAGGCCCTGCAGCTCATGTTGCATGCCCGTTAACTTCTGTAGCACGCCCATGATATGCCGTAGCCTGCGGTAGCACAGTAGTGCTAAGGTGCTAATGTTTTTACTCCCTGGCCCTCGGAGCCAAACTGGCTGCATTCCCAATATGGTAAAAGGGGCGTTACATTTTTGAGAACCGTGCTGAGCGACTGACCAATTACGGCAGAGCCGACAGGCCGACCAATCAGATCAGACTTGGCACACGTGGGGACTCTGAACGTGGGCACTTCAGAGTCTTAGAGAGAGAGTCAGAAGTGAGCCGGTGCATGGAGCGGCAGTACATGAAAACAGACACTTTTTTTTCGAACTTTAGCTATTGTGAACATACTTCAGTAGGTACATAGATTAAATATACGAACCCCCAAAAGGGCATAATATGACCTCTTTAAATCTTACACCTACTGTAGCTTGTAAGTCGTCTGTTTATACGATTGTCATGGTGTAGCTGGGATAACTTGGAGGGATATTGAGGGGCAGAGGTTTTACGGGCTGTTTACCGTTGGTAGTGCGTTCTCTGCAATAGATTGCAACCCTTAGAAATCTATGAAGGTTTTTTTTTTTTTACTCTTTTTTAAAAATGTTTCCATAGACTGAGCAGGAGATCATTTCTAGCGGCCCAATTATAAAATACAGTTAAACTACTTTATGTTGTAGTTGATGATTTCCTCACTCAGTGTCGCTGTTGTTATTTCTCTCCAGCTGTAGAACACTTCTGTAGGCTTTCACCAAATTATAATGCTTTGTCATATTTTACGTACATTTTCCACAACTGCAGTTTACAGAAGTTATTTTCAGCTGTCAGTCTGTTCAAAGACATTGGGCACGAGAGGCAGCACTGTAACAAACACTGCATTAAGTACACTAATTTTCACTGATTGGTCGCATTCAGTTAAAACGTACTTTCAACAAAATTGTTTTTTCAATACTTTTACAGTAATGAAATTATACGTGACTGTCACCAGAAGCAGTTTCAGACACTGTGGACGAAATTGATGAAGGAGAGAGATGTCTTAGAAGCTGACTGACCTGAGAAATAGTTGCATCCCTATCCTTCACTTGAAGCCCTCTCCATAATATTGATGCTACGATCTGCTGTTGAGTAAAGTAACATGATACCCGCACTTCTTTTTATAATCCCGGCTAGCATAAAATGTACTGATTTGTTTGGTGCAACCAAACCCTGACAAAATTGAAGTGACTAACTAGTTTTAACTTAGGGTTTAGTGTGGACTTTACTAAAACGTAAGACAGAACACGGTTCTTGTTCACTAGCTTACTTTTTGCAGCTTTAGTTGAGCAATATACACACACAGATAGAACTAACCCCCGCACTCAGTGCAATAATGGACTCTGTGCAATTACTGTCGTGTTTTAACCTCATTGGTTATTGAGTATTTATTACATTCATTTACACATTTTTACGGGTATGCATGTGTATGTGGGTAAGAAGTATTCCCAATAGTATGTTTTGCCAACAATATGAATACCCTTTCATTCAGGCTAGTTACGGCTTTACTTGTGATAGAATATTTTTATAAAGAAGTGTTGCAACTTTACTTTAAGTAAATAACCACCATACTTTTTTTTGTCCCAATTTGGTTAATTCAAGCATGTTTTGTTACCTACAGGCTTGTTTCTGCAGATGTGTGTGTGTGCATTTCTTGTGGATCTAATGTTTTTTATCAGGGTTTCATCTCATCTTTGTGCAGGGATAGTAGGCGTATAGAGTTGCTTCTCATTACTGCGGGTGTCTGGACAGTGCTATTGTTGTTGCCATGGCTATAGAAGACAATAGTGTTATGTATCTCTTGTCGTTTGGTTTTATATGATGTGTGCGTTTTCTGTTGTGAAAAAAAGGTTGCTGGTGGGAGATTTCTTTTTTGTTCAGTGTAGGTCAGCTGTGGATTGTTTCTTAGTTTTATTTACTTTAAAGGAGGAAAATATTGGCTTCATTTGTTTGGCACTTTCCCTCCCCAGTGCTGTTTAGCACTTTTCTCCACTGGTTTCAACAGAGTATTGGAGCTTTGCACATTTTCTCCTCTTTTTCCTCTTAAACCCTACTTCCTCCGCTTTCATGTTCTCGTCATCCTCACATTAACATCCAGTCTGTTTTGTATCGAAGTCCTTGTCTAACTTTCATTTTTACTCTCCATGTGTTGCATTTCTCTCTCATCCTTTTCCCTCCCTCAAGACCCCTTTGCCCCCTCGGAAGGTAGCACCAACACAACGTCTCCAGGTCTAGACCTTTTCAGCATGATGACAATGGAGAATAATAACCCGGGAAGTTCCCTGGATGCCTGTTTTAGCTCTGTGGTGCCCTCCCCCTCCCCTTCACCTTTTCTCACCTCCAGTACCATCACCACCACCGCAACCATTTCAGCTCCCATATCCCCCAGCGCCGCCAGCCCTGCGACTGACCTTTTCAGTGGTAAACATTAGAGATGTGTGTGGTCTTGTTATCATCTTGTCTTTAATATTCTCCTGAATGTCCTGTAATGATGCTTGTCATACCCCTCACCTTTCAAGTCTTATTCACTCTGACTTATTTGCACATTTTGAAGGTCTGTTTCATGTCTGATCATCCTCACTGTTTTAAGTGTTTGAGCATTTTTATTATTCCTCACACTCTGGATGCGTATGTGTTCGTAGATATTTTTGATTCCATGCCAGACACGAGCTTGACCAAAGCAGACCCCACTCCCAGTGCTGACTTGTTTACAGCAGGTACCCTGTTGCTCCTGCTCTGCCATCTCTCGCGTGCTCCCACTCTCATATCCTGTCTTGCCGTGTCTCTTTTTCAGCTTTGTCCATGGCTTTGATTTAGGAACAAGAGAAGGAAATGAGATTGCTCACATATGGGTCAGCTTAAAGCTTCTGAGCTGTCTGATTCATTTTCTAAATCACTCTTACCTCCTTCCTGTTCCAGCATGAACTGCGTGTGCTGCGATTGCAAATGATAAATGTGCATTATAATGACTCGTAGTTACAGTCTGTGTGTACTCGTGTGTGTTTGGGCTCTTAACACCATCTTCACCTTGCCCTCCCCAGCGGATGTGTTCAGCTCCCCTGCCCCCATTCTCTGTTCCGCACCCCCACCCAAAATTGGCACAGGAGCCATCATGAACCTTTTTGGTGGTGGGTAACTCACATGATTGTCTTCTATTCCCCTGCCTCCCCCTGTTCCTGAACGCATCATCAGTGAAGAGGAGTAGAGTAGTTACAAATGAAACCATAATGAGATTGATGTTTGGCTTTTTTATATTCTAACTAATGAGTCGTTACATTGTTGCATATTTGATTTCTTTAGTTTCATCATTTCTTAACAAGGGGAATCATTTGTGAGGAGGTTGATAAAGTGCTGCAAGTAGATATCAGAGACAGGTGTTATCTTGTTGAATTGTTCAAATTACATAAACTGCAAGTAGTGATTTCAAACCTGAAGTTTGTGTGTGTTTTACATTGAAAATGCAAGACTGTCAGATAAGTCAATTATAAAAGTGTGTGTGTGTGTGTGTGTGTGTGTGTGTGGTGTTATAAAACATGCTCTCTAACTCTAAGCACTCTGTTTGGCATTACCAGTGTGAAGGAGAAGGCTGACTATAACCACTTCTTTGCCCTCATGCTGCGATGGGAATGGCTCCTCTTGCTTTGACCTGGCACGGTTTGGTTTGGTTTATTTTGGTGTTGACCTGCCAGAGTCCACAGGAGGAGACGCTACAGCTGCTGCTGCTGCGCCTGCTGCCCCTGGTGCTGAACTCATGTCAGGTAAAACCAGTGCATCAACCTTCTGCATGTATAGTGTGTGCACTCAGAAATAAGGACATGTTGCTGACATCTCAGCTATTTATTTCCATCTTTGTTAAAACACTGTGGTTAAGTCATGGATGGATTGCTTGATGGGCAGCATACAGGCAGACTGTTGTTTGAGTTACAGTACCCGGAAAAACTAAAAATGTCCTGATTGTGCTTTTCTGCTTCTGATCCTGCTCAGAACCTTTTAAGTTGAGTGTCTGGAAATGAATCCTCCATGCAACCCCAAATTCAGTTTTTATTGTTTTATTAAAATCAGAGCTACAAAGCATGCTTCCTGTAAGTTAGAGTAATATTTAAAGTAATAGAGAAATGTCACTTAGGCAAGTTATATAAATCAGGTTTAGACTGCCTCTTAATCTCCAGTGTAAATATATATAAGCTCTGGTTCACCTGCAAAACACTGACAGTGAGAAGAGGAGTGCAAAGAGCCGTTACATTTCTCTGCTCAGAGGCCAGTTGCATCATAATCCATCCATGACATTAGCCATTGATAATTCCTCAATGACTGCATGCTGTCTTGTTGTTGTTGTCGTGCAGTTGTTGTTACAGCCACTGTATCTATTTTCTGGCTGAATGGTCGATTTTGAAAATGGATTTTTCAGTCGCTCTATCAACTTTGGTTAAGGTTTACGAAACAGGTTATTGTTAGCTATCTACTTTGTTTTTGTTTATTTTTTGCTTATATGACACCTAATAATGAGTCTTGACACAATAATAAAATGCAGCCCATTGTCCATCCCAAGTTGCTAAATATAACAGCTTTTACATTTGAAATAACTTTAAGAGTCAAAATAGGATGCTGTAAGTAACACTCTGGCATCATTACTGGATCGTGTATCTTAGCTTTCTTTATGAGGTGTTGAAGTCAGGATTAGTAGTATAAAAAGTCAGAACATCCACTTGGGGTGGCAGTCAGGGACTTATAACCAGGGGGCTGCAGTTGAGTAAAACAAACGCCCCTTTCACAGATGCACATAATTATTTTAAGGTGAGCTGCATGTTTCAAACAAACTAAACTTTTTTTCCTGACAGCCTCTTAACAAAATTTCTGTTAGAAGTCAGGGTGACTTATGACTTATTCAGGAATATTCACCACAAGCGAGTGGTCGGTGGTTATGATGTTTATATCCTGGGGACACTGCGCCAACAGTTTAATTTCTGCACGTAATGAGGCCTGCTTCACTTTCTTTTCTTTTGCTAGTTTGTTCTTTCCCACTCTTTTGTTGATACTGTGAATATGTGTAATTACTCCTGCTGTGAGGGCAACTCAGGGTAATAAAGGAGCATGCTGTCCTGAAATGTTCTAGAGACTTTCAGGATGGCATGTGTGAAAAAAATACAATAGCCAACGTTTAATTGTTTAATACGTTGACTACTTTATTTTTTACTTATTGCATGTCAGTCACTTTGCACACTTATGTGTAGACAAATCTTATACAGTATCTAAACAAAAACAAACTGAGTCGTTTGTGCTCGGTTTACTACAGATTTGTGATTGTTGTTGCAAATCCAAAGTCGTGAAATGTAAATGTTTGTAAGCAAGCTTTATTTTAAAACAACAGCCAGGACTACTTTCATAGATATAGGCTTCTGAACAGGATGCTGAATTTGAAGAGATTGTGAGAAAGTAAAACTTGGGTTATATTTGTTGGATATAAAGTGCAGACACTGTTGAGTCATGTGAATTTAAACTATGTCCATATATGGTCAAGTTAACGTCATCCTCACATCATGTTCTGTTTTTTTTTTTTTGTCTTTGGGGAATTCCTCTCATCTCTCCCACCTGTCAGCATTATTCAATTAGTTTCAGTGGTGACTGTTACCATGGCAACATGTACCCTGCTCACCTGTTTCCTCTCATCCCCTGTCCTGTGCCATTGGTCTTTATGTTATACAACTGATGGTCTGCAATACTACTGCTTGAAGGCTTAACCCTTTCTTTCCCCTATTTCTTTCTATCGTTCATGCTTTAAACTCGGATGGTTCCATTGTCTCCCGCTCCTTTAAACCTCAATGCTTTTCTCCCCCCTCTCTGGCATCTGTGCTTTTTCACTTCACTCTCTCTCTTTCTCTCTTCCTCACTCTCTCTTCCTCTCTCTCTCTCTCCAACTGTTTCATGGGCTGGCTCATTGCTTGCTTCCTGCCATTTGACTGGGTGAGTTTCCTTTGCTCTTTAACACGCTAACTTCCCACAGTGCACTGCTGCATTGCAGTGGTGAAAGGCACGCTCAGCTGCACCGTCCCTTCCATTACTGACGCTCTACGCTCACAGAGAGTGATGATGCAGGACGCTTTAGCATTTAGCTTAGCTTCATTCTAGCTGCAGTGCCTATTCCCCTCATCATATTTTCTGCAGCATTCACACAAATAATCCTTAAGAAAAAAGTAATTCAACCAACCGGCACTGAAAATGTATTCTTGATCCTGTTCATGTTGTTATGGTGGTAAGATGCAGCACTTTATGGTCAAACTTCAGGTTTTAAACAATAATGTATATATATATTTCAAATTTGATCTAATTTTCTTTGTCCATATTGAAAATAAGTACAGTACTAAACAGCTGACAGATGTCTCCTGTAAAAGATATGACTATATATTGACTCAGTCTGCACCAAATGATATTCCATTTATTGAAATACTAAAATTTACTGTTTTTATGTTTTTCTATAGATTTGATTTTCTATGATGTAATAAAAATTGGGCCTTTAGCTCACATACCAGTGCTTCTCTCTTCTCTGTTGTCATGGAGACATCTGTTGGTTGTCATGGTAATCCCCAGTAGGAAGGATGACTTCTGTTAGAGTGTGAGGACTGCTTACATTGAAAGATGCTAATATCAACCTTCCCTCTCCCCTCCCCTCTCTGTAGTATTTGATGGATTAGGAGATGTAATGAAGCCGACTTTGACCCCTCAGGGGGGTGATGTTGACACCTCTATGGCTAACATGGCGAGTAGTAAGTAGTCATTTAGATCACGAGCAATATCATGGATGTGGAGTTATGAAAGTTGTTCTAAATTGGGAGAAATGTGCTTATTTGCTTTATTTGTAAAAGATAAATGACAAGACCTCATTGATTGTGAAGCTTGACACCCCTGTACCTATGAAAAGCTTTAGCTAGATGCCAGTTAGCCCATAGCTTAGCATAACGACGGGAAACAAGGTGACTGGTTCTCTTGACTGTACCACAATTCACCTGCGTTTGTTTGTTTTAAAGGAAAAGCGAAAGACTAAACAAGCAAGAAATGTTAAATTGTGTGCTTTAGTTCTGTTCATTGGTCAATTACTGTTGGACATGTGTACAATTCGTAGCTAAGCTAGGCTAAAATATTGCTTGCTGTAACCTGTCATTACAGACAGATTTGATTGTTTCGAAATGTTGTCAAATCAGCACATTTAACCTGCTAACCTGGCCTTGTCTAAAATGTTTTTAGGAAAGAGTTGCAGCATGTAACTTTACATACTATGAAATACAAAATCAGACATTAAAAGAATAATACATTTTTAGCACGCTCTATAGGTGCTGTAAAGCAATTTGGTTATTTTCTTCCGTTTCCGTTCGTTTATACTAAGCTAAGCTAATCACCTCCTAGCTTCAGCTCAAGACTTAAACTGCCAAAAAGATTCTGTGGTATTGATCTTGTTAAAAAAGCAAATAAGTGTATTTCTTACCACTGATTTAAAGGGATACTTCACCCATTTGCATTAAGCTTTGTATCATTAGAAACCTGGTAGTATTTTTGAATGGTCGTGCATCCCGCCCTCATTTTCCCCTGAGATGGGAAATCTTTGTATTTCTAAGTCGGAAAAAGAGCTTCCAGTGACGCAAAAATTGTAATTTTGCGTCATTGGATGCTGTTGCGGTTAGCAGGGTGAAACTACAAGGCTAGTTCCTCATATTTTCGACCACTGAAGCTACAGACCAATCACAGATCAGTGGGTGGGAACTCACTCCCAGAATCGAAACTTAACGTCCGCCATATTGCTTGGAAGCTATGCTAACAGGCTCTATGGAGAAAGCTGATAATGGCGAAAAAATATGAATATAGCGGTGAGATGGTTGCTGCCGACAGGCCGGTCTTGTGTCATGGCTAGCGGCCACAGCAGCCAAGAAACTAAACCAGCCTGTCTGCAGCAACCGTCTCGGTGCTGTATTGCTATATTCCTGGACGCCGCCAGCCGCTGCCAGCTCAGCAGCCGAGACGTAAGGCCTGCCTGTTGGCGACGGTGAGGACAGGGAGCCGAGGCCGGCTCGATGCTGGGGCGGACTGGTAGTGTCGGCGCTCTCACTGTTTGCCTATGGACACAGACATAGAGTCTGTTTTCTGCAAGGAATTTCCAAGATACCAATTCCTTCTGGAAAAAATCTCAGAATCAGTTGAGGAAACGGCCGTATGTGTTGAAGTAAATATGTCTGTAAACCTGACCTTAGTGGGAGTGGTCTGCGGTGCTGTGCATTCTGGGATTTGGTGTCTTTCATCCACATGAGCCAAAAAGACACTTTCTGCCTTTTCTCGGCCAAGAAGGCTCCAACTTCAAAATTGATTTCACATTTCTTCTACATATATGACCCAATGTCAGTACAGATTCATGTTTCAACGGGTGAAGTATCCCTTTAATTCACAATGTTTTTAACAAAACTGTGTTTATCTAATGTGGTGTCATTGATGTCAGTGAATGAAGACAGTGATGTTGCAGTACCTCTCTTTCTCTTTCAGATCTCTCAATGGGAACCCCAGCGGCTCCTCAGGTAGCTCCCCCATGTTGGGGTGCTCCCATGGTAAATGTTGTCTGTGTCTTATAGCATGGAGTGGAGACGCATGGCAGCTACAGACAGGGCATCGCAGCAATCATGAGCATTGCCTTCATCTAGCTCTCCAGGTTCCAGGTTTTATAACAAATGTAGCATACTGAGGGCCATGGCAGCAATAAGGGGAAAAAGGCTGGATCAAACTTGTGACACTGGAACAGACCAAGGGCAGAAATAAAGGCAGATTTTAATATGCAGTTTGGGATTTCTGATAGATCTGGAACATCTACTGGAGAGTAATGAAGTGGCAAATGATAAAGCCAAATTTAGAAGCTGTTGATATAGCTTCTTCTTCTTTCAATTCTTTTAATCTTATTTTTTTATTTTTAAGCCTATTAGAGTCCGGGATAGCCTCCTGGTTCTCCCCCTCACAGCTGAACACCCTTCACTAACACATTAGCTCCTTATTGATAGCTTAGCTGTCTTTCTGGCTAAAACAGAAATTACATTCTCATCTGTAGGCATCCTGCAAAAAGCTTCTCCTCTGCTCTTGAAACCCTTGTGCATGTGTAGTTAGTTATTTTAGGACTAAAGTTGTGTTGTGTTGTGTTTTATTTTCTTTATTTGTTCTGTCGAATGTTATTGTCCAAAATCAGTGTGTCCATTTTTTATTTAAGATTTGGGTGTGTACATTGTTTGCATCTTGTGTCTGTCTGTCTTATATGTAGTCTAGTAACATCCCAACTCCTCCTCTCCCTCCCCTTCACACCTGTAGACCGTACCCATGGGGGTCCCTTCTTTTATGGGGACTTACCCTGGCTTCAGCATGGTAAGACCACCAGTCCAGTATAGTCTAGTAATGTCCCTGCACCAAGTCTGGACATTACTAGACATTGATGGACAATGAGTCCCTCAGGTGTCCCTAACACCCATCAGGTGTCAGACATTGTGTCTTACTGTCTCTTTTTCCTTCCACTGTCTCTGTTTAAGCCTGGGGCACCAGGAGCTCCCATGATGCCGATGGTGAGGCCGGGTTTCCCTGCGACCGGGCGACCCCTGGGGCACCGGTAACACACACACACTAAATCTAATATTATTTATTAACAAAAGTCAGAGCAAGAGTCAAAGCGCTAAAAGTCAAATGTGTCTGCAGATGTCTCCCGGAGCAGCCCAGAGCCCCAGGAAGCCTCCACCACCGAGGAACGCTCTGGATGACCTCAACATTAAGGACTTCATGTAGACTGACTGACCTGTAAACCCCCAAGGTATAACATATTGATAAATAAATGCTGCAAGCTTACTTTAAAGCCACTGAAAACCCAAATCCTTTACAACTTCTGAACAATCCAAGTCTTGAGCAAAAAATATGAAGCGTTTACAAAGCATGAGAACTTAGGATCAATCAGTTTAAATGTTTGCATTTAAGTTTCGGTCAACTTTCCTGACTTTGGGTTTTAAATCTGTTTGGGTTTTTTTTTTTTGCTTTAAAAATTATAATAAAAGTAATGAAATAATTCAGAAAACCAAATTTAGGTGTAGTCACAGCAGCAATTCAGCTTTTTACACCGGCAAGTCTTTTGTCTGCAGTTGATTCCTGTCGCCACGAGTGGATATTCATGCCAGCTCATGTTGAGTATCCAATGGGGGAATTTAGCTCCATGTGAAAGCATGTACTAGCTAACAGGGCCAATGTACAGCATTTGTTTATAATTGTCAAACAAATAAGGGGTTGTTAGCTAACATGACATGTGTTGACTGCAAACTGTGAAATGTACTGAAAAGCATTTTCAGTCTCAGAGAGATGTCTATCAAATGTGATCTGCAAATCCCCCACCATCTTGGCAAATGGTCTAAACAGCAATATTTGCTGAAAAGACGTGCAGTAACAAATTGTTGACTGCACCTTTTAAAAAGTCAATATTTTGGGAACTTTTTTTTATTATCGGTTTAATTGATGTGAATGACAGTTTGAATGTCAACACGGCGAAGGCAAACCAAAACTGTCATGTGAATTATATACATTATTATTTTGATATATTGAATAAGACTTCAACCATGACAGTGGAGAGGACTTTTTCCAATCAAGTTTATTCTCCCTCTTTCCTCTGTAGGTCTGCATTGTGTCTGGAGCTCTGTGGATGTGGATGTCTGCACTTTCCCACTGCCTTCCCCTCAGTCATGCCCTTCAGCCAACCAGCCATTTCATCAACCATCTCTGCCCTCCTTCGCCCTGAAGAAACCTGCCCTCCTTATCTAATGTTGTAGCACAACTGTGAATGTGAACCCTAGATACAGAAAACATAAACCCGTTTGTGTGTGTGGGTGTGCGTGTATATCAGTGTTAACCTTTACTTAATATACTATGGAAAAACGAACAAAAAAAATTAATTAATGTGTATTTAGATTCATCCTGGATTTCTGCGTATCAGCTGATTGGAATGGTGGATATATGTTGGTTTCTTTGCGCATCTCCCAGATGAGGACCGTGTTGTTAAATGTGGACTGTGTTCGGTGTGTGTAACTTCACTGGCCAACCTCCCACTCCCACTCCTCTGCCCCTGTTGTTCAAACTAATACTGAGCTATGTTAATGTCATTAAAACTTGGTTGTACCTATATCTGCTTGGCCATCCATCCTCCCAGCTGTCTACTTCAACAACTCTGAATTGAAAACGTACCTGAGAACAACTTGAACTGCAAATCTGGACTTATCATCAACCTGTCTTCTGTTTATTCTTTTCTTCTTCTTTTTTTAGGGATTGTATGAAACATGCAAATTTTTCTGAACTTTGTTCAAATTGACATATGCATTTAGACTATTTTAAATTATAGATTTTACATATTTTCTTTAACTTTATTTTGAGAAAAAAAAATGTATCATATATTTTTAGTTACTTCTAATAATATGGTTGAAAAAAGGCAAGTAGACGCAAAACCCCGCCTTCTTTGTACATACCTCTCAATCTGTAATCAGGCATAGTTGGATGAAACTGCCCTGAGTGTTTACTATTACGCCATCTGCTGGTGTGGAGTGATACTGCATCGTAGCATGCAAACAAGTCAATCTGGGATGCATTTTAATACTCTCAGAGAGCTCCTCTCCTTGTCTCTATGTCCCCACTATGACATACTATCCTGGTGGAATTTTAAACTGACAAGGAAGCGTTTGTGTTTGTAATTGGCCTCAGTCTTCTTTGGGTCGTTTAAGCAGTTGGTACATTTGGTCATTGGTAGTCTTGAGGACTCTCTTTGTAAAGCACTCAAGTATAAGCTGGATGTTTTGTGTGATGTTTATTTCCAAAAGTGACTGTATCTTAATCCATTGTGGCATCAACAAAGTGTTGAAAGAAAAATAAAGACGACTATGACACATAAAAACAAAAAGAATGTGGAAAAACGCTGTTTGCTAAGTACTCATATGAAGGCTTTCTTGTTCTTTCTTTGGATTAATATGGATGGCATCGTCCTCCCCCCCCCCCCCACCCGCATGTCAGTCCAAATGAGATGCAATAAAAGAAAAATACAGTGATCCAAACGACCCTCACGGCTCATCACTTATCTCTGTTCTGCTTGTTTGAAAACAGTTTTATTTGTGGTCAGCATCAAAAAAGAAAATGTGTTTGTGGCATGAAAATCCTTTAAGCGCAGTAACAGACATACATTGCAATAACATAATGTCACTTACTTTTAACAATAGAAAATCTTTATGTTATGTAAACCTACTATTTAACACAAATAGCACTGGATTTACTCATGAATGCTTTCATACAAAATTGAGAAACACAGACAATGTATACGCATAATAGGAGTAACGTTTTCCTTTCTTTTTTACAGTTTCATCTGGTGAGAACACTTTGAGTCATTCACGATTATTAACTGCACATGGTTTTCAAAAGACCGCAGACATCTGATGGGAATGGGAAAGGGAAAGGTCATAGATCCAGAAACAAGGGCATGGGTGCAACAAATAATACCTCTGGTGATGTCAGAGCGGGTCTGAAAATGAAAAAAATCCGTGAGAGTGGAGTTTTAAAGAAGGGCTTTCAGGATCTGCGGCCCACTCCTCATATCTGCCCAAGGCTAGCAGCTTGGGATTCATTAGCCGCTACAAACATAACAAACTGTTAGACATTAAGTTGCATTATGGGTAATATCCTGGAACAGAGGAATAAAAAAACATATTTCTGGTGTACTATATCGATTTTTGTTCTGTTGTGATTCTGATCATTTTATAAAGGGCAATGTAATCTCATATGATGAAATGTGTTTTTGGGGTCTGTTGAAAAAGATCACACACTTTTATAAGACACTTACATTTTATAGACCTACACAGATCAGTATTTCTTTATGTTGTACAAAACTGTGATGCAGCCATGACTAAGGCATGCCATTGGATGTTTAAATGCTTCATGAAAGACATTTTGGGTAGCCATGACACTGCAGTTTTCAGGTTTTAAGCCAAAAAAAAACAAATGTTACTCTAGATTCTGTGTACAAAGCGGTTTAGGTCCTACTTTTATCTTCAGATTATTTTTAAAGCTTGGACATAGCTTGACACGTATCATTGAATCAGTCGCTTTGCAGTCACACCTCTTTACAGTGACTTGGATCTCCGTGGATCCAGTGGCAGATCTGGGCATATTTGGGTGGAGTAATTCTCACTGCGACATTAAAGTCTTTCTGCACACCCCCTTCCACCTCCACCCACTGATGGCCTGAAAACACTCCAATCACCCTCCGCTGCCACTTCCCTTTCCTCCCCATGTCTCCCTCTTCCTGTCTCAGACGAATGTAAACACCCGCCCCTGTAGCGCCCACCTTCGCATCACAGTGCTGGTAAATCAAATCGTCGGACTCGTTTGACACTGAACAAAAACGATACACCACTTTCTCATGTCCAGGCCCGTCCAGTAGACTTTTGTCTGTGTCATAGCCTGAGAAGTGAATGCGTGTTAGGGATGCTGCTGAGGGCGCCACCCCGAGCTGCATGTACTTCTGTTTGAGGGGTCGTCTCAGCTCCAGGAGTGCATAATCGTAGTCAGAGGACACTGAGTTGGAAGAGCTCTTGCTTTGGATCCACCCTTGAGGGATTTTCATTTGTTTAACACGTGTCCAACGAAAAACAGGCTGCTTCCTGTTTTCAGCGTTACGTTGCACACGGTTGAGACTTTTCGGTTTCCCTCGTCTTTCACCCGCTAACTCATCTACATTTCCATGATCAGCTACCCCTTCCTCATCCTCCTTTCTTCCTCTGCGCCTCCTGCCTTTGTCTCCCTTTCTCCTTCTCTCTCCATCTCCATCTACACTATTCTGCTCTTCAGCTTCCTCCATTCCTCCTTCCTTCCTCCCATCCCTTTGTCGCCCTCCTCTCCTTCTCCCTCCTCTTCTTCTCTTGGTTTTGAGCTGTAGCACCCCAGCTCTAACATTTCTAGCACCTGCTAGGTAGTCTCTCCCGTTGTGAATGCAGTGAGCCGCTGTTAGCACATGTTTTGGGGATATTAGGACTCCAGAGCAGCCTGTGGAGAGACGGACAGCAGTGGAAAAAGGATAGTTGGTGATAAAATGAGAGTCAGAGATGACAAAGCGCCCGTCTGCTCCATAAACCTGCCGTCTCCTGCGGGTACGAGCTGATGAACGTGCTGGTTTACCTGCAGATGTTTTGTTAAAACCCTTCAAACTGATATCTGTGTGTGTGCAAGTGCCGTTCTCATACATTGTCTCATATCCCAGTATCCTCTCCTGTTCTGTCTGGTCCACAGGTGGTTGTTTGCTTTGACACTCTATTCCACAGAGTGTCTCTGTCCCGCCTCTCGCCTTGTCCTCCTCCTGCCCTCTGAACAAAGGAGGGCTTAAAAGCTCTGTGTGTGTGTCCTGCAGCACCGGGAGGCTCTGCCTGGTCCACTTGAACGCCTCGCTGCTCTCATCTAAACCAAAAACTGAAGAGGCAGAGAGGGCGGCTGCACAGAACAGCAGAAACAAGAAGTGATTGAGTCCCATCCCTCTGAAAGAAAGGAATTGTATATAAAATTGGATTAAACAAATAATTATTTTAAGGTCTAATAAACAAAAATATCTGACTTACCACCAGCATCCGAAATTGATTCTATCAGACCAAAAAGAAAATGATATTCATGCTCTTTCTTTTGTTTCTGTAATATACTCTTTGGCCAGCAGAGGGCGCAGAAGCTATGGTTAAACTGTGCAACCGTCATGCTTTTACTTGACATATCAAAAGTTGTTTCTGCAATAGAATTAATAGAAATGTTATTTCTTTAAAAAGCAAAAGCCTACCTCAGCTTCCATTTAGTATCAAAACAACTATGGAAATTACAATTTGCAAACAATAGCCTAATTAATAAATGCAATTAACGACTTTGAGTCCGCTTTAATTCTGTTAACGAATTAAAATACTTCTACGTTAGTAAGTCTGAAACACAAGACGATTAACAAACAGCAGTAACGGGAAAGGATAAATAGAGAAAGCATTTGTCATAAGCAAACAGTATTAAAAGTGATATGATAGGTCCGACCTTATTTTAAATAAACATCATCAAGACATTAATGTTCTTACCTGCAAAAATCCGAAAAAATCTTGCAGTAGACTTTTCTTTTTCTCATCAATAAAAAATTGTGTCCATCAAAACGGCTTCCAGCAGACTGGCGTCCACCATATCCTCCAGTCCAGAAAAAAAACACTGGTGCAGAGATCCTCTCACAAATCTACATCCCACTCTGATGAAGAAAAAAATGACGAGCCAACGGGCAGAAGGGGGGAGTCGAGTTAAAGGGGGCTCATGCGAGCATTACTGAAGCTTTTGATCATTAAATGTTTTTACATTTTAGCTAAGGAGTGAAGCCGTTTGGAGAGAATCTGGGGTTTTTTTTCTCGTATTACACAAACATTTTTATTACGACGTGAACACACAGAGGACAGTGCTGCTTTCCACAGTCAGAAATTAATTTAAATGTGAAGCTATTTACAGAGAGACCAGGCGACAAAATGTTGCCTTTGAGTGCGTGTTTATCCGGCGCTTTTGCGGTCAAAAGGGTAATTTTAGATTTATGTCCGGTGATGTTTGAAGCGTGTCTAGAAACATACAGCACACACACACAAACACACACACACTTCAGCTCTTATGATCTGAGGGACCTATATTTTAACCCATGTTGGTTTATTTTGACAAGTGTCTCCTTGGTTTAAGCAAAAAGACTGTGTGTGTGTGTGTGTGTGTGTGTGTGTGTGTGTGTGTGTGTGTGTGTGTGTGTGTGTGTGTGTGTGTGTGGGGTGTGTATGTGTGAATGTGCGCTGAGGGGTTTGTGTGGTGTGTGATTTTGTGTGTGCAGTTGGGGGGGATGTATGTATGTGTTTTCCTGTGGGTTTCATAGCCTGCATCTAATCACACAGTAAGAAGTTTCCACACTGAAAGAAGTCTTTTTGCTGGGTGGGAGTGAATTCCCATCCACTGATCTGTGATTGGTCTGTAGCTTCAGCGGTCGAAAATACGAGGAACTAGCGTTGTAGTTTCCGAACAGCTTCCGAAAAGCAAAAATCGTCATTTTGCGTCATCGGAAGCTCCTTTTCAGACTCAGAAATACAAAGATTTCCCATCTCGGGAAAATGAGGGCGGGATGCACGACCATTCAAAAATACTACCAGGTTTCCAGGTTGCGATAACCCCTACTGTATTTTGCACATGTATATGCAAATGGGTGAAGTATCCCTTTAAGCTTGTTTAAACTTCACTGTAGATGTATTCAGCCTATATTTTAAAATGTAACAATACAGTTTTATTACAAGGACATTTTATTTGGACGGTCTATGTGGTGGCTATACTGCAGCTATTTATTGTTTTTCCAGGACCTACTTTCATTCAAAAACAACAGGTTTCTGATTGCGTTTAAGAAGCTTTTTATTTTTTGGCTTTTTTTGTGCCTTTAATGGAGAGATAGGACAGCAGAGTCAGAATTCAGGGAGAGAGAGTGGGGAATGACATATACTTACATTTAAATGTTCATCCTTGAGCCACTTTGGAGTCTTCCATTTCGTTTGAATTGGTGTACAATGAATCTTGGGACATGTTGAGCCACAATGGATGCACAGGATGGACCCTAAATTGCCTGGTTAAAAAAAAAGGATTTATTAGTTGGCTGCTTTGAAATGGGACAGCCTTTGACACCCTGTGCGCTTAAGTAATCGCTCCTCAAATGCGTCCTTTAAAGGATGCAGTCCTGAACTGGGACACAGTTCATCTGCTGATGGAGTTCATCAAGTTGTTGATTATTGTTGTTCTGAGCCCATAAAGAGCTTCTTAAATGAGGCGTTGGTGTATTGCTGAGACATAAGGCCTGCCTGTCGGCGGCGGTGAGGACGAGGAACCCGGGCCGGCTCAAACTGGGGCGGACTGGTAGTGTCGGTGCTCTCACTGTTTGCCTATGGACACAGACAAAAGCCGTTTTCACATATGCACTCCGGATAATATCTAGATATTTACAGGAGGACTTCCCCGGAGATTCTCCCGACCTAGCTGTTCACATATGCTCCTCGAGGACCTTAGCGGGAGTGGCTTGCGGTGCTGTGCATTCTGGGATTTGGTGTCTTTCATCCATATGAGCCATAAAGACACTTTCTGCCTTTTCACGGCCAAGAAGGCACCAACTTCAAAATGTATTTCACATTTCTACGACATATATGACTAAATGTCAATACAGATTCATGTTTCAATGGGTGAAGTATCCCTTTAATGTTATTTAAAAAGTTTATTACAATCCTCTCTTTTGCAATGTGCTCTGTCTCATAAGTTAACATTATGTTGGAGGCTAAACAAAGACTTTTTTTGATGCCATCTGCAATGAATGCTTGTCAAAACAAATGTGTGAAGTTCATTTCTGCAACGAAACCAACAGTTCTCAGTTTCATATAGGTGTCATTGTCACTTCTATGAGGAAGTGGGGTTTATGGTCATCATATCATGTCATTTCAAAAACCCACTCATCACCTCCTGCTCCTACTTGACCTACTCGTCAAACATTTAGTCACTCTGCCAGCGCCTTTGCAGCATGGATCCACTCAACTTCACAGTGGTCACGTCCAACATCTCCTCCTCTCCTGGACATCCACCTCGTCCCTCCAGTGGTCTGCTGCCTGCGGTGGTTTTGTCACTCTGCCTCCTGCTGGGAGTTCCTGGAAACATCGCTGTGATTATCTTAAAACCAAACCGACAGCACATGTCGGGCCTGAGCCAGAGTTTGATGTTGAATTTGGCCGTATCAGACTTGCTCTGCCTGCTCACACTGCCCCTCTGGATTTACACATTACTGCACAGCTGGACCTTTGGCCTGCTCGCCTGTAAGCTCCTCACATATCTCATGTACTGCTGCATTTATTGTAGCCTTCTGACTGTGACAGCTCTCAGTGTTCAGCGATACCTTCAGGTGGTGCACCAGAAGAAGTGGTTCAAAACTGAAGGAAGTTGGAGGCTGCTGGTTCTGCTCTGGCTGGCTGCAATGAACATGTCCATCCCTGCTTTAGTGGTTAGACAAACAACCACTGACGGGAATTCAACAAACTGCCAAGCTCTTTACTCCTCCCGGACTCAGCAGGTTGCCGTGCTGCTGACAGAGTTCCTACTGGAATTGGCTTCAGTTTCTGTCGTGGCATATGCATACATCCGCCTCCACAGAAAAGTGGAGCAGGCAGCTTTCTTCAACAACCCACAGACGACCCGGCTGATCACAAGCATCATTGTGACCTTTCTTGTCCTCTGGCTGCCATATCTGGCCATGAATGTACTCAGTCTGGTAGCTATTTTGTTTAAAAATGAAACCCTGCTGAAGTTTTGTAAAGACAACTGGAATACTGTTGGAGCACTGACATTTGTGAATAGCTTCCTGGATCCTTTTATGTATGCGTTCGCTTTTACAAACATCTGCAATAGGTGCTTTAAAAGCGAACATAAAAACAGTTCATGCAAAAGCTCCACATCCCAGGAAGATGAAAATAAGTCAAGAGTCTGACATAATCTTATCTAGGCCTATATACAACCACCAGAAATCACCAGTCTGCACAGCCAGATTATTAAGACATTTAGATAAGGATGAAACAATAAAGTCCACTTGTGATGCAATTTGGATTATGATACTGGGTTCAGGGTAAGATTTTCTCATTGATAAAAAAAAATTAGATTGAAGTCAATTTACAAATAAATCTGGTTATTTTATTTAAATTCTCTGAAGAAAAAATTGCAAAATATCATACGCCTCCGCCGCCCAAGGCTTATAAGATGCATCAAGGTGCCACATTCATTACTTCCAACTCTAAGTCAGATCAAACATAAAATCAGACCTACACCTAGCTGGTGCACTATAGTCTCCTAATGTAATACAGGAGAAACCAAAAGCTGATAGCACCCTCTGCTTGTTAAATAACAGGATTGCAATATATTTTTTTGTCTAATCGATGTAAATTGTCCTTTATTGTATTTCTTTTAAATTGTATCTCCAGGTATTGTTACATCGTTACATATGCAAGTTTTTTTTCTTTTCTTACTGATAAAAAGGTGTTTTCAGACTCAAGATCTCATCTCACAGGAGAAAATCAGATCAGTTGATCATAACGAGCTGTGGATGATTAGTGGTTACTTATGAAACTTGAGATTAAGAAACATCTCGCGTCATATTAGCTGTGTGCTGTTTATAACAAGTCTAAACCCCTTATTAAAAATGAATCATGATAAAACAGTGAAAAATGTCAAAAGATGAACTTGAAATTAAATAATTATACTGTAATTCAAATGCAAAACAGACTTCCTGATTATGTTTCATTGAAGCTAGACCACATTATGCTACAACCTCAAAACAGATTTTTTTGGGCATGTCAATTTGTGTGTGTTTGTGAGTGTGTGTGTGTGTGTGTTGTGTGTGTGTGTGTGTGTGTGTGTGTGTGTTAATGACTCAATGCTTGCAATAATAAAATGCATATATGATATTGAAGTTGAAGTCTATTTGAGCAGCAAATAAACCTACATATTAATGACTGGGCTGTGTCTGAAATCTCATACTGATGTACTGCCTACTTCAACCTCAAACATACGGTATCATGCCGTTAGCATACAATGCACATCCTCTCAAAGTCATGACGTCATCGATCACACATTTCAGTCTGAGCTACATTGAATGATCCAGCAGGCTAGTCAGGTTGCACTAGATGTCAACAATGGAATACGATTAATAAACTTGAATAGCTGCGTAGTTATTTAATCGTTATTTGAACAGATATAAAATGTTTTGCTTTAATAGTAAGCAACTTTTTTTCTGGCTGTTGAGCTCTGCTATTGTATATTCTGATAAGACTCGATGCGTTTTGGGGCGACGAGTGAGCTCCTGTCTCTTAAAAATGTTGGCCAATTTAGAAACCATTCGTGTATTTCTCACATGCACAAAATTGGATAGAATTAATTTGTCCACTTTGTGCAATAACATGTTACACTTTATGTGCACTGTGTGCATGTCTGTGTTACACGGAATATTACGGACTACACTTTTGTCAATAGCTGATCTATTTTTTAAATCTATTTCTGAGTATCTATTTTTTTTTGTACATTCTTAATTTTTCTTTTATTTAAATTGAACTGTGTTCACTTTTTGTCTGCAATCTTTGCTCTTTGCTGCTGTAACAATGTAAATTTCCCCATTGTGGGATAAATAAAGGATTATCTTATCTTATCTTATCTTGAAATGCACTACATAGTTAATATGACATTATACTTAAATTGTATGATAGCATGCAGTTTTGAAAACAACCTTTAGACCTTTAACAACCTTTGGCTGTTTTGACTTTTTTCTCAAGACATCAGAAATCCCTTCAGATCACGTCTTCATAGACATCTGGTGGAATCCCATCGAGTCTTCTCTATCGGATTCAGTATTAGAGGAAGACGTAGAAGCCCTGATATCAAAATTATTCTTTAGATTTGTGACTGAATGGTGAGCTGCTAGATCTTATATACCATAATTAGCAGTTGCATACACATGCTTTGTCAGCAGATATTTGTTTGTGGTATAATATTAAGGAGATAAACTCTCCCTATATGCCCAACGGAAATAGATTAGAAACAGTCCCAACTTAAACCCCAGTCCCAAACAGATAACCCGAAGTAATCATCCTTGTAAGTACTTGGCCTGCATTTGACACTAATACTTAGTGTAAACAGCCAAACAGCTGCCTTTGGACTATTCCTATAATAAGACGTTTTGAATGACCAATTCGTAATACTTTGTATGGATGCTTATCTTATGTATGCAAAGACCCTTGAATGTATGTTAAAAGGCTTTGATTTGGTTTTCCACTGGTTTTAAGGTTGTCTCCAGTTGTAAAATGCTTTTGCTTTCACTGACACTGCCCCTGGCGATAAAGGCTCTAACTTTTTAAGGTGATCCAGTCAGAGGAAGCAACAGCTCATAAAAAGATTAACTAAATGTTAGTGTTGGAGTCCAAACAACAGAAGGAACGACCATTTGTCTCCATTGTTTCGCAACAAGCTGAAAAGAAGGGACTATGCAGTGTTGACAATATAAGTAGATGTGCAAACTTATTCAGTCATTTATTTGGCTTCGACACAGATTTTCTTGCAGACCTTTTCAGCTCTCTTTAAGATAAAAATTACATTATCAGTATTATAAAATGATATAAGACTATATCTTGCTTTATTAGATTTATTTATTTATTAGATTTATTTAGATGTATTTAATATGATTATTCCTATTTTATTTTGAAGGTTTGTTGTGATTCTGTAAGACTTCAGTAGTCATGTGATCAGGAGACAGGAAGTAAAGTGTATTGTTATGTGTTACGCTGTCTAAGTGAAATAAACGAGTGACGGTGGAGCAACACAGTAGTTTTACTGTGGCCACATGGGAACATGTGTGAAGCCAACTCAACGCGTAAAACAGTGTAATGTCGTCACTAGAGTGGTTAAGAAAGAACTAAGTTTAAGAACATAAAGATTTATTAACAAGACCGAATAAACCACTACAGTAAACTTCCAGAGAACTTGTTATTAATAAAGGTTTCACTTCATTTTCTTAAAGGTCACGGAGTCACTGTTCATATAATTCTTAATAAAGCTCCTTGTTCTTCTTTGGGATTTTCTAATAGTAATCAGTTACATCCATCACTGTATCTTTTGTTCTTTTCTTTACACTCTCTACAACCTTCAACTTTTCTGCTTTCTTTTCATTAATTTCCGTTGCGGGACTGGATCTGACTTTGATATGTTTGGTTAACCAGCAAGTCCAAGGGTCTTCCCCTGTATGTGGGGCCGAGATGAGGGGATTTTTCCTCGACTAACTCTGCTGGTGACGGCCTCGGAGGATGAGGAAGTTCCATCATCTATGTTCTCTCCTCAGGCTGTGTGGACAGCATGTACAGGTCAACCCATAAGCATTCGTGTGCTGAACTCTGTCTAGACACCACTGTCAAAAAGAAAAAAAAGTCCTACAGGGTCACGACCATGAAGGAGAGAATGTTCTTTATGTTTTGTGACTCAGATTTTCCTCCAGCTGCTCCATTGAGCCCAGAAAGAGTTTTCTCTGGCCAGATCTCAACAAAGAAAGCATCCCTTTCCCATGCAGAGATGACTTCTGCTCTAAATTCAGTGTATGTGTGTCTGCCAAGATGCTTGCTTACGTTTCTCATGCTCTGAAACATGCACATTGGTCATCAAAGGAGTGATATCTTGACCTTTGACAGGAAGAGGAAATGAACATCTAAATATTTTTTTGAAGTATATGTTGTAAGGCCTGTGTGTTTCTGTGTAAGCATTAAAACTAAATCCGGAAACCTCAAAGACAATTATTTTGTTTAATTAGAGCATAATTATAGTCATGATGACTATCAATCACATCAAATGTTTTGTGCAAGTTCTAAGAGGATTTTAATCACTCAGATTGCTCCATGATAAATTCCATCTCACTGCTAAATCAAACAAATCATAAATGTGTTTACAGTGAAGCTAATTAATGTTTTTGCTCAATAACCTGGTATTACAATGTTGTACTTAGAATGCATTTATTAGCTTCTCTGTTGAAAGATATGACTAATTTAAACCACTTTCAGGTTTGTATGGTAAGCTAAACGTTAAATTTAAGCTAGGACAGGACATACTGTATCAGCCTATAGCGAAAAGACTGCAAAGAGGGAAAAGACGCAGCTAGCTAGCCACCCGTAGCAAAAAAGTCTTCTTTTTCTTTTTAACTGACTTAACAATTTAGTAGTATAACGTATCTCTGGATGAATAGTCAGATACAAACTCAAGCTAAGATAAGAAGAATAGGCCTATAAGCTGTTTCCCCAGAGTAGCGTTTCAGACGCTAAATTTAGCTAACAGTCTCCAGACAGATTAGCGTCATGTTTACTCTAATGATGTGAGAGAGATCTACTGCTTATCTTACTCTTGGCATGATAGCAAATAAGCTTATTTAAAAAACATATATTTTTACACTAGGCTTATCTGTGTGTTGGAAAACAATTTGGTATTTTAATTAAAGGCTTAACATCCAAATAAAAACATCTCAAAATAAGAAACGTATTCTTATCCAAGACAATTAAACAATAGAAGATGTGGGAACCCAGTACTGGGAAAAAAACAGATTTTCTGACGTTACAAGATTTTTTTTGATGTGTTGGGTAAAGTCTGTGGAGGACTATTGATAACAGTTCAAGTTATTGTCTTGGGTTGGCTGATGACTCAATGTTGCCTGCTCATTCCTCTCTTCTCACGCAGCTAGGATTTACTGCTTCACTCATCTTCCAATGAATCTATCCTGCCATATCCTGCCCTTTTTTAATATTTGGAGGGTTTTTGCCTTTGTTGCAGATATAGGACAGTGGATAGAGCCAGAAATCAGGGAGAGAGAGCAGGGAATGACATGTGGGAAAGGAGCCACAGGTCGTATTCCAACCAGGGCTGTCAGCTTGGAGGACTAAAGCCTCCGTATGGGGGTTGCGCACGAACCACTAACACTACCGGCGCGCCATCTTGCCCTTTTGTAACTTGACTTTTCTTCTATTTAGATGCGGTTTTATCAAAAGATGTCAAGTGTAATTTTCTGTCCATTCTTTGCTCTCTCTTTTCTTCCAGCTGGAA